TTTGGTGTCTGAAGGCTCTTTAACATTATCACTGGAACTTTGGCTAAAGTAGCTAACAAATAAAGAGCTTATCAATTAGCATGGTGCTAACATCAGGCCTACGTCATCAATCATTTGCCTCAAAGCACGTGGAGACGTTCAGTATCTCTGACAGACTTGATTATGTGGTTTCTGACACTTTATGATACACTGTTATCTATAAACATGGACTGAAGTACATTAGCATAAAGCTAAAAACAGTAGCATCTGCCCGATTGTTGGGATATGAGCTGGCATAGAAAACACACAAATAAGATCAAATGAAATGCATATTCAAATGTGTGCATTAATTAATAACGTCTCTGACAAACATATGCAGATTAGATGGTAATGCAGTGTTGTTTGCTGCATTTCTTCGAGCCAAAAGACTTTATTTGGTCTGAATATTTGACTAAAGCATTGCATATACTGCATGCTAATTTCTAGCGACGTTTCTCTACAGTACATTGTGCTGCACATTAAATGTTTATGCCGTGTAACTAAACTATAACCTGCAGTAAAAATCTCAGACAACAAGAAATAGGCATTTATGTAGAGCTAAAAACAACCGGCAGTGGTTTTAAACAAATGTGTTTATCATGTATGTAGGAGTAAAGCAGAACCTGCCCTTCATTGTCCTTCACAAATATCTTTTGGAGAAAATGTTTATTGGATGCACTGGAAAATACCTGTTTTATATAGGGGGACTCATTAAAACACAAAAACGCCAAAAGTGTTTAGACAGTGAATTGACAAAGAAAAGGGGATTGAGTTAGGGTGAGCAGATGTCCCCATTTTCTCCGGACACTCCCTGTTTTCGGTGGCCTGTCCCCACTGAAGCTGTCCCCAGAAACGTCCCCATTTTTACAGGGACTTAAAACACAGTGGTCCTAAGAAAGACCTGCAGCAGAGCAGACGGGCAGACGTATTGCGTTCTGCTTGTTTTGGCCAGCAGAGGGCGCTGCTGCTCTCTACTGACCACTTCTACCACTCGCTCGCCTAGTTTTACAGAACACTGCTGTGTAAAACTCCACCAGAAGCTGGCAAGTGTACAGTGAGTCCACAGCATCACCACAAACGCCTTTTCAGGACACAAGGTGACCCAGGGGTCTAAAGCAGGGCTGGAGTTACGGGACTGAATCACTCTACCAGGTGATCGGGGGGCTCTGATTTAAATGGTCATTAAATGGTCAGTCCACTTGACTGTAGCCACCATGAAATACACAAACAGAGCATCATTTTAATCTGCGTCACTTTTTCAGCCTCCATATACAACATACGGCATAAGCCGATAGTAGTGTCTCTGTCTGTCCAGATCTGGAGCTGCTCAGGGGTGAGTTTAAGGTCTGGATATTGGGCTACAGCCATGGGTCTTATTTCTGTAGCTTCGGGTCTTTTTACTGCCAAAATATTTAACATGAATATGAATTATGGGCTCGTACAGCCACTGAATCTTTAGTGGTGAATGTATCTCTTTCTCAATCCCTGCCTGAGCCGCTAGACTTACTGTCTTTTGAGGCCCCTTTTTACTAAGTGACTTTATTTCTAAAAAGTGACGAGCAACAAAAGGGAAAAAATATCAACTTTTTACAGGACTACTGTAATTTATTTTCCATGCATTCTGACCATTTTCTTTATTGACTGCTCCATAGTTTACTATAGCTTCACTCTCCATGGTAGCTACTGTATGATTTTCTGACACAGTTTACTAAGTTACTTAGTTAGTTTATTACAGTACAGCAGTTATCATGGTCAAAATACAGGAAACTGGAACTGAGCCCCTTTTATATTTAATGGATAAAAACATTGGATATTTTAATGATAAATAGTCCGCCGAACTGGAAATGTCACTGTTTTTCATTTCAGAAACCTGGTTACCTTAGATTGAGCAGATGTTCTCTGTGTTGAGAGTTCTTTAGTAAAAAGAATTATTTTATTAATATACTAAACTAATATAGTAATATACTTATTTTTATTTAGACACATAAGTTCTATATAGAACCATTTCATGCCCAAATGGTTCTCTGCATAGTGAAATTGTTCTTTGCAGATTGATAGAGAGTGTGTTGTATGGTCCTGTGTGGCACCAAAAAGAGTTTTGCTGTTGTTACAATGTCAAGCTTGTAATAATAGAAGAACGCTGTTTGGTGCTAAATAGAACCATGGTTAAATGTTTTTATATAGATCCAAATACAACACATTCTCCATCAATCTGAAAACCATTTCACCTCGCAGTGAACCATTTAACCATGGGCTGGCTGCTGGAAATAGAATACAGAACCATTCATTTTTGCTAAAGAACCCTTGAAGAACCATCTTTTTTGAGAGTATAAGGAAATGTCTGGGAAATTCAATCTTTGGGTCTGTACACACATGAATATCAGACCAGAGTGAACTAAAAGTGATAAAGTCCATATATTCTGTCCACACTGAGTGTCTGTCCACCCAACGTCCTTTTTTCATCTCCTTCAGTTTGAGATGCTGCATCTCTCTGTTTGTGTCCACTCGGTTTCTGACCTCATTCTCCTTTTCGATTAGAGAGAGACACGCCTGATTGGATATGAATCAGGAAATTGATTGGACTCTGGATGCAGGTGGCTCCTGCTGTCATGGAGTATCTAATGGCTTCGCACCAGATTTCTTTGAGAGAAAAAGTATTGAACCTTCATGTGCCTTTGGTTTTGATGGACACACCCATTTATATGCATTTTTTTTCTCTGCACAGTGGTTTTGTATGTTTTATTTGGTCTTTTTAGGGTTTATATTTTCCTAAATAGTATTTTGGAATCTACTAAAGTAAATAGTAGGTTACTGATATAATCTATAGTGACAGCTTTTATCATTCACTCTCAGAAATAAAGGTACTAGACTGTCACTGGGTCAGTGCCCCTCTTGTCACTAGGGTGGAACCCTTAAGTGTTCGTCTCAGTACCTTTAGTCAGGGAACATAACTGTACCATAATCTACTGATATGATATTTTCTAAGCTGTACTGACTCCACACACCCCGTCTCGTCTCCAGGACTTTTATTTTACTGTTCTGTTTTAAATCATTCGCTTATGAAAAGGTAAAAATACGAACTTTTCACCTGGAAAAACTTATTTAAGGATCACAATCAAACCTTAAAACCACTGTTGTACCTTTGAGGGAACATTTACATTGTTTGAACATGTAATGTACCTTTATTTCTGACGGTGAAGTGTGTATTTTTACATCCGTCTTCATGTTTACGTTTCATTGGGCTTCAGTTTAGTTTTAAAAGTGGACACAGACAGCAGGCTTAACTGGGCAGTGTTTGCGGCGATAAATATAAGTATAATAAATATAATGTTTTTCGTTTATTTGATATCATTTGCATCACAGAATAAAAATCTATATGAACACATTGTTGACTTTGCTGATAAAAACAAAAATATATCAAAAATATATATGTCCATGCCACTTAACCACACATTTGAATGTATTTTACTAATTTTTTTTGATGTATTATTTAGATATTATTATTTATATAGACAAATTATCTCAGGAGGATAAGCAGCCTAGATGATGAATGAATTAATGATATTTATACAGACGTATTATTTGTTTGACTCATCTATTTTCCCTTTATGTGCTTCTTTCGTGCTTTAATTGTATTTGCTAAATTTCTATCTGGATATCAGTGGTGGACAGTAATGAAGTAAATGTAATTCATTACTGTACTTAAGTAGTTTTTTTGTGTATCTGTACTTTACTGAAGTATTTGCATTTTGGGCGACTTTACTTTCACTCCACTACCTTTCAAAGTCACATATCTTACTTTTTACTCCACTACATTATGAGAAATCTGTCGTTCCTTTTGGTTTATGTGTGTATAAAAACATAACGTCAAAATGAAAGAAGCAAAAAGCAAGAACACCAATCAGGGCACAGCGCACACTTTGTTTTGAGCTTGTTTTGACCTGTTGGACATACCGACCCAGTGCAAGCACACGGTTCAACGTCAGTGCAGCAGCGTAAAATTTTGGGAGAGTCTATTCAACATAAATGATGAACTAACCTAACTTTGTGTAAATAGACCACAATATAGAAACATGTACACATATGCAGTTGTGACTGACGTGTCTTTTTTCTGAATTTATACAAACACGATTTCATTTTATGGTAAAGTTGTTTTTGCTAGTTTATGTTTATGAACAGAGACCTACAGATGCAGTTTAGTAAAGGAAACTCATTTGTGAATCTGTGATTAAAGTTTTTATTAAACTTAAACTTGTAACTAAGCTGCAAATAAATCTTAAACTGAAACTTTGCTTGTTTACAGAAAGTTATTTCAGAGCCACTCGGTTCTACCTAATGGAAATTGTTTGCCTTCAGTGTTTTGTGCTTATGATAATTTTAATAGACATCAGCGTCACTAATTAATGACATTCTATTAAAAGACTGGTGTTACAAGAGTGACACTGGAGTATTTTCACCTAAAATGAATTAATGAAGAGTCATACATTGTTACAAAAACAATTATAGGACATCAGAGTCATAATGAATCTTTTAGTACTTTTACTTTCGATACTTAAGTACATTTGAAGGCAAATACTTTTGCACTTATACTCAAGTGGAGGTTTAAAGGGAGGAACTTCTACTTTTACTGGAGTAATATTTTACCTTGGGTATCTCTACTTTAACTCAAGTACATGGTTTGTGTACTTCGTCCACCACTGCCAGATAAAATGAATTAAATATGAATTATTTTCAGGTATATAAAATAATATGATTGTTGCTCAGAGAAGCCAAATATTCATAAATGGCACTGAATCTAAATAAATAAAGGATAAATCCGTGCTGGTGGTGTCTGATAGTCTCTACTCCACGGTAAACTCAGGCCTAAACACGCTCCAGTGCCTCAATTATTCCGCGTTGCTCTGGCGCCCCCTGCTGCCTCACCCCGAGAAGGACACAGAGAGCGCAGAAACGCGTGAGAGGATGAAGTTTGTCCCTCCACGGCTGTGGTAGTGGTTCAGAATGGCTGCCCCCGTGTTGGTGAGCGAGGTTTTCATTCTTACATCGTTTTTCTTTCTGTTCTCAACTTTAACGACTTTATTTATTACAGTATTTATTTTATAACCGAGTCTAATCGCAGTCTTTAACACTTAAACTAGAGCAGTGACTGTGAGACGGACTGTTTAGGGTTGATTTGTTATTCGTCTTTACATTATTAACTGCAGAAAATTCAGTATCGCGATATTTTCCAAATTTAGACGAGACGGTATTTAAGTTCGGTTAATAAAAGACGTAGCTTAGCATTAAACTCTGAAATACTCTATGAAATACAAAATGCTCTAATTATAAAATTAAAAGAACGTTAGAAGTTTCTGCATCTTTGGTGTAAATTATTTAAAAATGCTGTAACAAAATCATCAGATACACATTTATTCCTTGATCTGGCCAGATGATACCAGCATCAGAGACTTTTAATTTGTCATATCATCACAGAACTCTGTCTATTCCCTCTCTCTCTCTGTCTCTGATGAAAGACTGATCAGCTGCTTCAAATAAAGCACAAATAGAGTTACTGATTCTGTATGAAGTGTTTATTCTGATCATTTAAAGAATTTATCACAGTAAATAAAACCTAAACTGGACAATTTGCTGCTGTTGCTGATTATTTTAGTGTTATAAATGTTCTGTAACAGAATCAGTGAATTTATACAGTTTGGACGCAGTAAATATGAGTTACTGAGTGTGTTTACATGTATTTAATAATCTGATAACTGCAGAAAATAGAATGTGTCAGTAACTGGTTCAGTGTGTTTACACTTAATCTCATAACAGCAGAAAATCAGATTGTGTCAGTAACTGGTTCAGTGTGTTTACACTTAATAATCTGATAACTGCAGAAAATCAGATTGTGTCAGTAACTGGTTTAGTGTGTTTACACTTAATAATCTGATAACTGCAGAAAATCAGATTGTGTCAGTAACTGGTTCAGTGTGTTCACACATAATAATCTGATAACTGCAGAAAATCAGATTGTGTCAGTAACTGGTTCAGTGTGTTTACACCTAATAATCTGATAACTGCAGAAAATCAGATTGTGTCAGTAACTGGTTCGGTGTGTTTACACTTAATAATCCGATAACTGCAGAACAAAAGTGGGGGAGTTAGCATTAATAAGGTTAGAGTTAGCGTTGATAAAGTTAATCAGTTAGCATCAATAAAGTAACGAGTTTTCATTAATAACGTAATGAGTTATTAATGAAGTTAATGAATTAGCATTAATAAGGTTAATGGGTGCTGTTACTTTGTGCTAAAAGAATGTCTTACAAACCTGACAGATTTATAAACATAAAAACAAAATCCAGACAAAATTCAGTCTAAGAAAGAAGCTGCTACTGTTTTTAGCTTTATGCTAATGTACTTCGGTCCCTGTTTATAGATAACAGTGAGTGATACAGAGTCAGAAAACACACAATCAAGTCTATTAGAGATACTGAGGACCTCCATACGCTCTGAGACGAGGTAGTAGATGTGCTGGTAGCACAGTGCTAATTGGTGGGCTATAAGTTACATGACTTGTTGGCTACATTAGCCTCATAGCTCCTGTATAAAACTGAAGAAGCAAACTTCAGACCCCGAACACTGTCTCGGCTCATCGGCTGTGTAACTGGGGGAAATTCGATTTGTTTCCAAACTATTGCTTTAATTCTTCTCTCTGTCCGTCTGTCCTGTCAGTGTCAGATGAGACGGCGGTGTCCAGTCGTGGCGTACCTCTCTGTGGTCAGAAGAGAATATGCTTCCAGTCCTCCGTCTCCTCCCTCTCTCCTCAACAGGTTCCTTTTCCAGCTCAACCAGCACTTCCATGATGTAGAACATCTCATCAACTGGAGCAGCTGGCTGAGGAGCCGAGTGGTTAGACGAAAGAATGTGTAAGTGTTGCAGTTCTCAGATATTACTTTCTGTTCTCGCTCAGTAATCTATGATTTATGGAAGCCCATTCACACCAGGCAGAGGAGAAAACATCACTTACAATTCCATTTCTGACAAGAGTATGTCAAAAAATATGACTTGGCATCTGAAATAATGACTTATTAAATCAATATTTTGAGAAAATATGTCAAAACACCTAAATGTCTCACAGTGATTCTCTGGTAAGTGAAAAATTTGAGATACTAGGTCAATATTTTGAGATATTATGTCAATATTTTGAGAAAACAGGTCATTATTTTAGGTATTAAGTCATTATTTTGCAAAATTAACTCATTATTTTGAGATATTAAGTCAATATTTTGAGATACTAAGTCAATAGTTTGACACACTGCTGCCAGTAGCAAGGTAGTGGTTTCCAATAAAGTGGTCACTACTAACTTGCCGGCCACTTTATCAGAAACCCCCTTCCTTGTAGCCCCACCCACCTGGTGTACAGTTAGAGTCTGTAGCTCATCTGCTGATGCGCAGTTTGTGTTAGCCTTCGTCTTGACCTTCTTTAATGGTCAGTTTCTGACCACAGGATCACTGCTGGCTGGACAGCGTTGGTTAGCGGACTGTTTTTTAGCTCAACAGCGACACTGAGGTGTTTAAAAATACACTCAGACCAGCACAGCACCCAGCATCAGCGTCACTACTGTGCCAGTGGTCTGCCACCTAAGTAATATCTGGTCAGTGGTGGTCCTGGTGGTCTCGGGGTGTGGGGTAGCGAGGTGGCTCATAAACTGCAGTAACAGATAAGCTACCATCTGTGACTATGCACCTAATATGGTGGCTGTTTCTGATAAAATGGCCATTTAGTGTAGGTAGTGGACAGATTAAACTGGCATCACACACAGCAAAATTTTGCCTGTTAGTGTTTAAAGAGGGTCTCACTTCACCGTTGAGAGATGGATTTAGATCTGTGGAGCTTTTTGCTCCGTCGTGTTTAGTGATGTTCTCTCTGCTGCAGGTTCTATGGCTACACGCAGAAGAGGTTTGGAGTCAATGTGGCAGCAGCTTATTATATCCTGGGTCTGGGAGGAGGTTTCAGGTACAGTGACTCTTACAGCAAAGCTATATTCTGATGTATTGAACATTACTGTAAAATATCACATAATATATTTTAATATATTAATTATATCACACATTAGGCTGTTTATACAGTGCATTCATTAAAGGGTGATCTACATTCCTGCATAATTAGATGTTTAGGATGTGAACAGAGTTGTTCAGAGTGGTTTGGTGTGAAATGTTCCGTTCTAGATAAACTTACCGAGTCAGAACCATTCACAGTGGTGGTGATAGGAACCAGACGTCACAGAAAGTTACTATATAAAATGGTTATGTATTCACTGCCTGATGTCTGAGACACTGTTTTATGATAGTTTTGAGAAGATTTTGGCCTTTAAATCCATTCATGGTGGAGGGATACATAATATGCAGGGTGTTATGAGGCAAAATAGAAAACGTATTATTTCAGATTTTCCACTATTTTCCATCATCAACATTCCATATAAACTCAGAAGACTCGTGTAGGTTCACTGGTGGTTTTGGATAGTAAATAAAATGTCTATATTTGTGTTGTAGTCATGGTGACCCCTGGTTCCTATCACCGCCACTGTAAAGACATCGGAACCATTTCACACCAAACCACTCTGAATCACTCTGTTTACATCACACACACTGAATTATGTAGAAAATTTGAAAAATTTCCGTCCATACTTTTGTTTTTTCTCAACTTGCCTGCTGTAATGCTTTGTTTATAGGACATCCTCTAAGAACAACAAACAAACTACAACTTCTGCAAAATGCAGGAGCAAGAATATTAAAACAGACTAAAAAAAAGATTATAATAGAGCAGTTTTTAGAATCCACTACACAATTTTACTGCTAGTTTTTAAATCTGTTAATGTTTTAAGATCATCTAGTGCTGCTTCTCCATATTTCACGTAAGAAGCTTAAAAAGAGAGGCAACGTTGTGTTCTTTTTCACCAAAGATCTGGAACACGTTACCAATAAACATCAGTCCAGTTTTTAAAAAACAGTTAAAAACAGATTTCTTTACTTTAACATTTAACTAACAAACTTCTTTCCCTTGTTTTTACTTGAATATTACCATTTTTTACTGGAATGTTACTTTTACTTTCTTGTTAATAGTATTTTTATTTATCCTTCTATCTTGTACATCTTAATTTAAATATTATTAACATATCCCCTTTTTTGCTATTGCTTTTATTTGTTGCGTTTTTATTATTTGTCTGTTTTATTTTTGATTATCTTTTTTCTTTTCTTTCTCTACTTTTACTTTGTATTGTGAAGCACCCTGTGCTGCATTTTTAATGTATGAAAGGTGCCATTTAAATAAAGATTATTATTAAAGATTATCATTAATTCCCCTGAAAGCCAGTCTAGTGGCTGCAGGAGTGGCTGTCGCATGATGCTGATGCGAACGCATTTGATGGGAAGTTATGACTGTTGTTTTCCACGACCCTCTTGTCTGTGGTCTGTAGGTTTGCAGGTCAGTCGGAGTGGTTTCGACCTGACTCAAGGGGGAAGTTTAGCTATGACTTCATCAACACACCCAACTCGACTATTGAGGAGATTGACCTAAGCGGGACGCTCATTAACCACGTTGGGCTGGAAAACATTGGTAAGCCTCACATCACACAGTGGAAGATGTTTCACAGCTCACTTACCGTACAAAAAACATAAGGCACTGACCAAATTCATAAAGATATCAAAATTCTGTTCATGTTTACATCTCAGATCATTACAAATCTGAGTAGCATGCATACTTAAAACAAGGGTTCTTTGAAGGACCTTTAGTAAAGACAGTGGTTCTATTTGGAACCGTGAGTTCTATAATAAACCATTTCATGTTTAAATGGTTCTTTGCATGGTGAAATGGATGGAGAATGTGTTGTACATGGTTCTATGTAGCACCAAGACGGGTTCTGCTGTTGTTACGATGTCAAGCTTGTACAAGAACGCTTTTTGGTGCTATATAGAACCACATACAACACATTATCTATCAGTCTGAAGAACCTTGTTACCATACAGAGAACCATAAATAAATAGAACCATTGCCTTTATTAAAAAACCCTTGAAGAACCATCTTTTTTAAGTGTGTAGGGTGTCCATACGAAATGTGTGACAGGCTCATGTAAATACTTTGTAACTGTAATTGAGCAAAATACCAAACATTACACAGAATTACTGTAGAGCCATGTGTCAAACACGAAGCAGCGGCACAATCATATCCAGCCCACAAAATTATTTTGATTTTCTATAAATATTGACCTGTTTCACAATGCACTGCACTACAATCCCCAGCATGCACTGCAATGTAAGGTGCGCTCCCCCAACAACAATCTATGGGACTCCAGTAACACCACAGTACATAAAGAAAACTTTAGAAGACATGTTTGTCATAAGTGATATTTATGGAGTTTAGAATATGTACTTAAGAATCTAAAGTAAAAGTACTAAAAGATGCATTATGACTCTGATGTCCTATTATCATTTTTGTAACAAGACTCGCTTCATTAACTCATTTTAGGTGAAAATACTCCAGTGTCACTCTTGGTAAACCAATCTTTTAATAGAATGTCATTAATTAGTCTGACGCTGATGTCTATTAAAATTATCATAAGCACAAAACACTGAAGGCAAATAATTTCCATTAGGTAGAACTGAGTGGCTCTGAAATAACTTTCAAAGAAGAACAAGCAAAGTTTCGGTTAAAGATTTATTTGCAGCTTAGTTACAAATTTAGGTTTAATGAAAAACTTGCTTTAAACTCACAAATGAGTTTTCCTTTACTAAACTGCATCTGTAGGTCTCTGTTCATAAACATAAACTAGCAAAAACAAATTTACTATAAAATGAAATAGTGTTTATATAAATTCAGAAAAAAGAAACACGTCAGTCACAACTGCATATGTGTACATGTTTCTATATTGTGGTCTGTTTACACAAAGTTAGGTTAGTTCATCATTTATGTTGAATAGACTCTCCCAAAATTTTACGCTGCTGCACTGACGTTAAACCGTGTGCTGCATTGGGTCGGTTTGTCCAACAGGTCAAAACAAGCTCAAAACAAAGTGTGCGCTCTGCCCTGATTGGTGTTCTTGCTTCACACTTCTTTCATTTTGATGTTATGTTTTTATACACACATAAACCAAAAGGAATGACAGATTTCTCATAATGTAGTGGAGTAAAAAGTAAGATATTTGACTTTGAAATGTGGAGTGAAAGTAAGAAGTCACCCATAATGGAAATACTTCAGTAAAGAACAGATACACGAAAAAACTAAAGTACAGTTATGAATACATTTACTTCGTTATTGTCCACCTCTGGCATTGCCTGGGTGTCATCATTTGTGTTCTGTGTGGTTAATTTCCAGTTTTACCCGGCTGTTTTTTGGTTTTAGTCATTTTTAGATGATGTTACTTTTTCCACACAAGCTTTAGTGATGTTCCAGTGATGTTTGCCCTGAAGCAAGTTGAGGTTAAGGGACTTTTTCGGTTTGAAATGACCTTGTGGCCTCTAGAGTCATGACCAGTTTCCTTGTCCTCTGTTTTTCTCTCCGCAGTGAGTCAGAACGAGCTGCGCTCCCTCTCTCTGCAGGGCTGTCCAGAGGTGGATGACTGGTTCCTCGCTCGCTTGCATGTGTTCGGGGAGAGCCTGCAGCGGTTAGACCTGTCCCACTGTCCTCGCATCACTGTGGGCGGCCTGGCTGCACTGCAGCACCTCCGGTAACCTGACCCGGCTACATTACAGACATGTAAACTAGAAATGATACTATATAGGATTTAGTGCAGAAGCGGTGATGAGTAATGTGTGTTATTTACAGGACTCTCTTTATCTGAGCTCGAAGTTGTGTTGTGAAAACATTTTAAACATTTTGATCTTCAGGAAGCTGCGACGGCTGGACGTCTCCTCCCTCCCGCGACTGCAGAACCCCGGTTTGGTGCGCATCCTTCTGGAGGAGATGCTGCCCCACTGCAAGGTCATTGGAGCAGATTATGAACAGGGACTTTTCCGGACAGACAACATAGAGGAAGCTGAACCAGTGAGGCACAAATAGGTGACTCAAATGGACAAATTCAACTGTGGTGATGGGACTGTGGACACTGTAAATCACATGCTCTTCCTGTGGATATTTAACCTACTTAATGAAATCAAGCAGTTCACAAGTAATCATGTTTCGGGGACTGTCTAAAGTGCTTAACGTGGCTTAATATGCTAAAACAATCACACAGGAAACCAAACTTCTCACATTTACTGGCCATAAAAATTCTCTCATGCCAAAAGAACAAAACTGCAATTCAAACACAAAGCAATTTTTTTTACTTTAGACTCTTTACTGCTTAATGTGGCTGAAAGGGGTAAATATTTCACTACTTTTAAAGGGTCATTCTGGCAAAAACTAGAGTTTATTTAATATTCAGCATCATCAATTCACGATTTTTGTTCATCAGTGTTGACTCAGTACAAATCCGCCGTGCATGACAAATACATCACACAACCATTAAAAATAGCTTAGGCACTGATGAAGAGGCTAATACAAATATATGTAAATTAGCTCTGTAAACTGCTGCAGGCAGGATGGGTGGGGCTAAACTGCTGTAGGCTGAATGGGTGGAGCTAAACTGCTGCAGGCAGGATGGGTGGGGCTAAACTGCTGTAGGCTGAATGGGTGGGGCTAAACTGCTGCAGGCTGAATGGATGGGGCTAAACTGCTGTAGGCTGAATGGTTGGAGCTAAGCTGCTGTAGGCTGAATGGGCGGGGCTAAACTGCTGTAGGCTGAATGGGTGGTGCTTAAATGCTGTAGGCTGAATGGGAGGGGCTAAACTGCTGAAGGCTGAATAGGTGGAGCTAAACTGCTGAAGGCTGAATGGACCCTTTCATGTAGTAAAACAGTGACCTTACTGCTCATAATCACTGTCTGCTGGCAGAAGGATGACCGAGCTTTGAAGCTTTTTCTTCTCCATTAAAACCCACTGCAAAGACACAGAGTAACACATTAAAATATAAAAGCTCTTTCTGAATTACAGGTTACAGGGATTACGTCTTTATAGCAGTAGGCAGAATCTGACACAGCAAAAGCAGAACGATGGCAGAAGTCGTGAAAGAAATTTGGTATTCGTAGTTCATTTAAATACATTTAGCTGCACTGCTGTTTTGATATAATGGGTTTAAATGGAGATCTTGGATGCAAAATTGATCACTTTGTTTTTGGATAACAGACAGATGAGACGATGTTTATGGTCATTAAGATATGAGATATATTTGATGTTGCTTTGTCATTGTTTTCATACATGAATGCACTTTAAGCTTTAAGCATTTTAGAATGGCCTGTAATCCTGCAGTCTAATGAAAACTGTGTGCAACAGCAGTGAATGTGCATTTTAGGAGCTGCTGTTATTCTGTGTTTAACTTAAGTGTATTGTACATTGAACACCTGTACACCTTTCTCTGTGACGTCATTTGTGACTTAAAAATAACTATTTAACATGTACCTACAGTGTTTATTGTTGTATTTAATTTGGACCACCAGACTCTGAATAAACATAAGTTTTATATAGAGCCATTTTCCTGCTTAAGCGGTTCTTTGCATGGTGAAATGGTTCTTCAGATTGATAGAGAATGTGTTGTATCTGGTTCTGTATAGCACCAAAAAGGGTTCTGCTATTGTTATGATGTCAAGCTTGTAACAATAGCAGAACCCCTTTTTTGTTACTATATAGAACCAAATACATGTATATAGTTCTTCATAGAACCAAAAAGGATTCTTCTATTTTTACGATGTCAAGCTTGTAGCAGTAATAGAACCCTCTATAGTGCTATATAGAACCATTTGCATGTATTTGGTTCTGTTTAGCACCAAAATGAGTTCTCATATTGTTAGGATATCAAGCTTGTAACAATAGCAGAACCCCTTTTTGTTACTATATAGAACCAAATACACATATATAGTTCTTTATAGAACCAAAAAGGATTCTTCTATTTTTATGGTGTCAAGCTTGTAGCAGTAACAGAACCCTTTGTAGTGCTATATAGAGACATGTACATGTATTTGGTTCTATATAGTACCAGAAAGGGGTTCTATTGTTATGATGTCAAGCTTGTAACAATAGCAGCGCCCTCTTTGGTACTATATAGAACCAAATACATGAATATAGTTCTTTATAGCACCAAAACACTAAACACTATTCTTACAGTGTCAAGCCTGTAGCAGTAATAGAACCCTTTATGGTGCTTTATAGAACCATGTACATGTATTTGGTTCTGTTAAGCACCAAAATGGGTTCTCCTATTGTTACAATGTCAAGCTTGTAACAATAGAAGAACCCTTTTTGGTACGATATAGAACCATATACAGTACATTCTCCATCAGTCTAAAGAACCATTTAAGCCTCTGTATAGAACTCATGGTTCTAAATAGAACCATTCCCTTTACTGAAGAAGCCTTGAAGTACAGAGTGCAGGTGGGGGTCTCCTCTGCTTTGGTCAGGCTGTGTGAAGTCTGCGCAGGTGTCAGGTCTAATTAGGAGAGTGTGATAAATCCTATAATCCTCATTATGGAGGTCTGTGAAAGCTGGATCTCGTGCCAGGGAGAACATGATGCGGGAGATGATGAAAAACGGCTCGTAGACAAGGTACAGAATTAATTTTTGGGTGTGGGGGGCTTTGGGTGTTTGGGCAATTCTCCAACATTACCAAAATATAATGAAGATACAGGACAGAAAACAAAAAACTGCACCTTCAGTCATTCAGAGTGGTTTGGTGTGAAACGCTCCGTTCTAGAGAAACTTACCGAATCAGAATTCTTCACAGTGGTGGTGATAGGAACCAGACGTCCACCTCTAAAAGCTCCCTCACAGAAAGTTAATACATAAAATGGTTATAAATACATGATTTTAAGACCATTGTGGAGGAATACATGCAGGACGTTGTGAGGCAAAGAAAACTTATTATTTCCACTATTTAACATCATCAATATTCCATATAAAACTCAGAAGACTCGTGTAGGTTCACTGGTGGTTTTGGATAGTAAATAAAATGTCTTGTGTTGTTGTCATGGCGACCTCTGTTTCCTATCACCACCACTGTAAAGACATTTGTTTACACACTCAATTATAGGGGTTATTATAGGAGAATTTAGAAAAATCGGTGGAATTCCCCTTTACGTTGGTAGTTTTGGTTATTAATCATTCTTGTAGGTCTTCCCGAGAGTATGACTATATATACATGACAAATATAACAGTTTTCACATACATATACTTACCTAGATGCCGCGTTGGGTACAGTCAGGCACGTCAACGGTGCCGCCATTTTGGGGCGGTCAATATCACTGCTGGACTGCATTCAGTAGCATTACAGAGCAGCAGTTTAAGTAAAATACTGTCAAAAATTACACTATTTCAGGGATATTGCTTTCAGAGAACGGGATAGGATTATATAACGGAGGGAACACAGCGATCCACGCTCATGTCTGTGTGATGCGTATTGTTTGTGTGGTGTTTATGTAGACATGGCCGTGTGGTTGGTGAAGATCAGAGAAGCTGTTGATGTGATTGTTTTTCCTCTGGTTTTATATTCAGTTTATTTCATTTAATAGTCTATTCAGGGGATCTCAACCTTATGTAGTAGTTATTTATTTACAGTGATGGTTAAAGCTTTGAGCTAGGTAAGTTATTGCATTCCTTAATCCGTGTAGATATTCATAATGCACTAACGTTATCACCTTCTTACACGAAGCTGAACTCAGCTTCTTCATTGCCAACTTTTTGTTCGAATTTTCCCGTTCCACCTTAATTGGCGCAGCTTCAGGCACCAGGAAGAAGCCGGCGAATAGGAAGCCAATTTTAGCTTCGTCCTTCTTACTGTGTTTTGGGGGTTTATTGTATTTTTATGTGTATTAAGATTAGAAGAGATTCACACATTGATGGATTTGCTGATGTGTGATTATGTTTCTCGCGCTAAACTCGGTTTTTAACGTCAGGTGCAGACTGAATACTGTCCTGCTGGTCCAGACGGCTAATTATCATGTTCAGTTATTAAAGAGATCAAAGCTACCGAGAGCAGATCCGTGCAGCCCAGATTAATCTGTGTCTGAGGATTATAACAAAACAGATGTGGTGAAATTCGGTGGAGTAGTAAGGAAGTTGTGTCTGATTTAATCCTGAGACCTTATCTCTCAATACAAGTGAACTTGCGTACAAGCGGATCTTGACCGCTCCAACATGGCGGACGCGCAGACGTATTGCCTCAGAGAACAACAGACAACGCGTCATCTAGATATGCATATCTATGAGTTTTCATGTCTCAGTGTTTTTTTTTATCAGAAGTGCTCGAATCCAAATCTTTGTCCGATAACGTCGTTCCGACTTTTACTATGAACTGTTACATTTTGCAGAAAGACCGAGTGTTGAATAACTGGGTCTTTTTAGCTGTGTCTGTGGGAAAATACCTTATGTTATGGTTCTAGATCATATGAGCGAACAGCTTCCCTTTCGACTGTGTTTTAAGTAATTTTTGTTCAGTGAATATTCAGTTTGTCCTGCTTTTCATCGGCGCTCTGTGTTTCCACCCGGCGGGTTATTCGGACGCTCAACAACAAAGCAGCAGCTGTCCCTTTAAAGAAGGAGGCAGTTTTAAAGGATTTAACATCACAAAAACCTGTAAATTCAACTTAACATTATTTTCGGGCTTATAGAAGACGGATAGATGTCTGAATCTCAAGGTAATGTCTACTGTAACGTTTCGCTGTAGGTCAGAATAACCGCAAATCATTAAACTGTAAATTAAAGTGTCTATTGACGGTTGTTGCCAAGACAGCCAGGCCTCATATTGTTCCTGATGTTGTTTCTAATATTCGTCCTAATGTTTGTTTTTGCTTATAGAACAGGCTAAAAGAGCAGAAGAGGAGACTGATAAACCAGATCTGGAGGTATAAAATATATTTTACCCTCTACATTAATATCCAGTTAATACTGTTTCGGTAAAGCCTCGGTTAGGAGACTTCAGCCAAGCCTATGACACTATATGGCCAAAAGTATGTGGACACCCTCCTAATTTTTGAGTTCAGGAGTTTGTAAAATCAAGCACACAGCCATGCAGTCTCTGTAGACAAACACTAGTATACAAACACTATTCTACTGGCAGTAGAATGGGAAGAGAATTAAGACCCTCAGTGACTTTAAACGTGGCCCTGTAATAGAATGCCACCTCTGCCACAAGTCAGAGAAATGTTTGTGACATTTCTGTCTTGCTAGATCTGCCCCGGCCAATTGTAAGTGCTATTGTTATGAAATGTAAGTCTAGCAGCAACAACAGCTTAGCCATGAAGCGGTAGACCACACCAATTCTCAAAGCTGTGCAGAGTGTTGAAGCGCAAAGCACAGATAAATCATTCACCGTCTGTTGCATCACTCACTAGTTCAAAACTGCCTCTGTAAGCAATATCAGCACAAGAACTGTGCTTTGGGAGCTTAATGAACTTGTTCTCCATGGCCGTGCAGCAGCGTACAAGCCTAAGATCACTATGCACAATGATAGGCTTCGTCTGAAGTGGTGTAAAGCACACCAATACTGGACTTTGGAGCAGTGGAAATGCTCTCCATAGCCAAATACTGGCAGTAGAATGGGTTGTACTGAAGAGCTTAGTGACTTAGTGACTCACCATTGCACTATCAGTGAATCCTGCCTTTCCAACAAGTCAGTTCTTCAAATGTCTGCCCTGCTAGAGCTGCCCCGATCAACTGTAAGTGCTATAATTGTGAAGTGTAAATGCCTAGGACAGAGATAGTTTTCAGTTCTGGATTTTGTAATTACTGGTAGATATGAGATCAGATGGCCTATCAGTTACATCAACAGTTCAGCTAGAGATCACAAAACACCAGGGACTGGAAAATGTGCTGGGTTTAAATGCTCCCTGCCAGAGACACTTACTAAACCAGACCTCCACCTTTAAAAGCTCCTTCACATAAAGTTATTACACGAAATAGTTATGAATACGCTGCCTGATGTCTGAGATGTCTTTAGGATAGTTTTGAGAAGGTGTTGGTGTAAAATGTGTTTTTAAAATCCGTTCATGATGTAGAGGTACATGCAGAATAGTCAACCAAAAATAAAAGGTAACCCCATAAAAGGATCACATTTGGGTCTGTAAAAACCTATCATTGGATTTTTGTAATTGAGATTTTGAGTATAAACAGTCTTTAATCCTTTGAAAATTTTATGGCACCTTAATGTTTAAGAGTGTATACTGTTTTACCTTCATCAGCATTACATGTAGAAACTCAGAAGACTCGTGTAGATTCACTGGTGGTTTTGGATAGTAAATAAAATGTCTATATTTGTGTTGTTGTCATGGTGACCCCTGGTTCCTATCACCACCACTGTAAAGACATCTGAGTCTCTACAACCAACCATTTCACACCAAAGTCCCCTTTAATGTTATGGCATTCAAGCACATTCTAGAGAACTGCAATTTCATTTACTTTCCACAAAGGGCAGTGGTTGGAGAACCACTTCCGTAAAAAAATGGTTTGCTAGGTCTAACATGGAGATACCCAACATCAGTACCTGACTTTACTAATGCACTTGTGTCTGAATGCAATCAAATCTTCACAGCAATGTTCCAACATCTATTGTAAAGCTTTACCAGAAGAGTTGAAGTTTTTACTGCAGCAAAGGTAGAATCGTAAGGCATGTGATATTTGGTTAGTGTCTGTCCACATACTTTTGGCCATGTAGCATAAATCATCAATTCAAGTTTGCTGTCCAACTCTGTGGATGGGTTTCCTGGGCAATAATAAAGTTTAGTATATTTCCTACATATCTCCCCCTATGGATTGATAACTGTTGTTGATACTGCAGATTTCTACTGTTTTATTTTCTTCGTTTCTTTCTCTGACTCTGCAGGGTGAGTCGGACGACAGCAGTGACGAGGGTGAAGCCTGTGGAGACAGTGAAAGTAGGTGTTGCTCCTGATTGCAGCAGCCTACACACTTAAAAACATGGTTCTTCAAAACTTTTTAGGAAATGCAGTGGTTCTTTTTACAAACATAAGTTCTATATACAACCATTTTGTGCTGAAATGGTTCTTTGTATGGTGAAATGGTTCTTTAGATTGATGGAGAGTGTGTTATGTATGTTTCTAAACAGCACCAAAAAGTTTGTCAAGCACATAACTACAGATCTTTGCTGCTATTTGAAATCATTTTCATAAAGTTCTATGTAGACAGCACGTTCTCCATCATTTTGAAGAATGATTTCACCAGGCAGAGAACAATTTAACCTTATCTAGATCACTGTACTGGTACTGGCACCCTTTCTTGCGTTGATTTCCGTTCTTTTTTCTTTGTTTTTATGCATCAAATCGCATATTCAGTGATGCAGTATACCATTAAAAAGCTTGAAATCTCAGGATTTGATTCCAGTGAACTGTTTTATGATCCATTATTCACAGCAGTTACGATCGACTCATTTGCAGCATCAGCACCGAATGAGCAAATGCCAGGAAATCTGTGTCCTCACTTTCAGAGCCTCACCGCCTCCACAGAGACACCATAATCCACAACATGTGGTCTAATAACACGGCAAGGGTCAGACATCAGTTTAGAGATCTGTGAGTCAGGAGGAAATAAACTCTTCCATTCTAGACTCTGTTACTTTGAGTCAGTAATTCAGACCGTTATTCTGACTGGTGGGGAAAAAAACTTGAGTGTTTCCTTTCAAATGAGGTAAAGATGTTGACTGTAGCTCAAAGTATGTGGGAACAGCGCCCCCTTTACGTTAGATACACTGTTTCAGGCACAAAAGGGGTGACAATGGTTCTGTATAGAATTAAACCATTCCCTTTGTAAAGAAACCCCAAAGAACCATCTTTTTAGTGTGTACATGAGTAAATGTGTAGCTTTCAACCAGATTTCATCCTGTCTTTTCCTCTTCTTTAGTGGATTTCCTGCGCAATCTCTTCTCTCGGACTCTTGGCCTGAGTCCTGGAGAGAAAGTTCTTGATGAGCTGAGCCTCGAGGGAGTTGCCCGGTATATGCAGAGTGGTAAATGTAGGTATTAAACATTGTCCTTTATGGCTGACAGTGTTTTCTACACTCTGTGGCTATATTAAGAAGACATGCTGGTTCAGAGAAATGCTGTAAAACCGCACTGCAGCTCACCACAGAGACTAATGACTAACCTCAGTCTGAGTGAAGGGCTGTACGCATAAGATGTGCACGTGTGTATGCAGCTGTGTGCGAAAGTGAAAACGAACACGTCCTCACAAAAGTGATCACGTCCTATGCAGAGAAATGCTCTTAAATATGGTCTATATACTTCACTGCAGGGTTTGTGTTTATTAGCTGAGGGAAAAAATTTATGTAGCCATATATATGATATAATTTAACACACCCCACAGTTTGTTTTATCAATTCTTCCCCAATATTTTACTTTTAGGGAACAGTAATTGTGCTTTAAAGTGTGCAGACGTGTGTTCTCTGTAAAGGATTAACTTATTTACATTTAAAATGATATACTTACTAATATATAGTGATATACTTGCTGTCCTGTTGACCAGCACGTTCATTTTATGGACTTGAATGCTGACTGTAATGCAGCAGACTGCCACTTAAGGAGCTCTGCATTAGTAGCTTACATTGTACCATTTAAAACTTGTTAAGACAATCTTGAATAAAGCAAGACAGCATTAAAACCGCAGGTCTTGTGATTTGAACTCTTTTTATATAGAAATGGTATAAAAATTTTAATAACAGCAGAGCCCTTTTTGGTTCTATATAGAACTCTTTTCAAACTCTTTTCACCATCCTGTGGTGGTCCCTTTGTGCTGGTGGGGGTAGAAGGGGGGCTGATTCACTGTGCAGGGACAGATAAGTCTGCAACAGGACTGGGCGATTAATCTAAGTTTTCTAAATTATTGACTTCCACTGACAATGAAAACAACAGAATCGAGATAAAATGATGATTGTGCTGCATTCTATTTTGCAGTGATGCTCCTGTTCTGTTACTGTTCTTGTGTTATAGATCCGGTGCACCCCTTTCCTTTACAGTGGTGCACCTTTGCCAATCCCTAGAAACCCAGACTCATCTAATTTATTTTGATTACATTTATTTAATAATTTATATGTTTATATATTATATATTATTTGTTTTATTTGTCTTTTATTTTTTCATTTGTTTTTCCATTTAAAGTTGAAGGAATCCACTGTTAAAAAGACAAGTTCAATAAATGGATGATGTTTTCAAAGTCAGTGATCATGATAGATAATTGTGATTATGATTGTTGGCGTAATTGAGCAGCCCTAGTCTGTAACTGTACACATACGAAGTGCACCTATACGGTAGGTAATTCTGGTAAATTGGCCAATGAGAAGAAGTACAAGGCAAGTGGAAACTCAGATTGTATATAATAAAATTTCTTTTCAGATAAAAGATGTTCAGGACTTTAACCTTGTCTTTATCACTGTGTATGTAGGTAAGAGCATTATCTGCATGGTGGGCGCAGGAATTTCAACATGTGAGTACACGGTCTCTGTAATGATCTTCTATAGCGCTAAACACCAATAGCTGATTAATATCATCTCAAGAAGCAAGTTGGTCCGCACATGTAGTTTACAGGATCATCACATAATATAATCCAATAACCGCCTTTTCTCTCTCTCTCATTCAGCGGCCGGCATCCCCGACTTCCGCTCTCCGGGAACCGGTCTCTATGCAAACCTGCAGAAGTACAACCTGCCCTATCCTGAGGCCATCTTTCAGATCGACTACTTCAAGGTGCGCCTTTAATCAGTGAAGTCGCATTCAGTGTGTTTGATCCGACTGGGTTTGAGGGGACTTGTCATTGTTCTCTTCCTTTTCTCCAACAGAAACATCCGGAGCCGTTCTTTGCTCTGGCCAGGGAGCTGTACCCAGGACAGTTTAAGGTAGGAACGGGAAGCACCTGAGACAGACGGTGGTTATTCAAATATTCAGATGTCTGAAATCACCTTAGTGCTGGTTTATGTTTTATTTGAGAATTTAACTTAGAACTGCAGAGAAATTTGGGATGTCTTAACAGTGGTGGTGATAGGAACCAGGGGTTGCCATGACTACAACACAAATATAGACATTTTATTTACTATCCAAAACCACCAGTGAACCTACACATGCTTTCTGAGTTTATATGGAATGTTGATGATGGAAAATAGTGGAAAATTTGAAAAAATACGTTTTCTTTGGGGACTATTTTAACCTCACGACACCCTGCATATTATGTATCCCTCCACCATGAATGGATTTGAAGGCCAAAATCTTCTCAAAACTATTGGACAACAGTGTCTCAGATATCAGGCAGTGAATTCATAACCATTTCATGTAATAATTTTCTGTGAGGGAGCTTTTAGAGGTGGATGTCTGGTTCCTATCAACACCACTCTGAACAGTTCTGACTCGGTTAGTTCTCTAGAATGAAGCATTTACACCAAACCACTCTGAATGACTGTTTACATCTTGACTGCTTTAATCATGCAGAAATTTAAAAAAATTGATGGAATTTCACTTGAAAATCAGCCTAGTGTTTTGCTTCTGAATTGTACATTGTCTTTGTTTTTATAGCCCACAGTGTGTCACTACTTCATCAAAATGCTGAAGGATAAAGGCCTGCTCAGACGCTGCTACTCACAGGTCAGTTTCTGTCTGTCCACTGAAGTCGTGCAATGGCCAGCGAAGTCCAATCCAGGTTTCTTTTTCTGTTTAGAACATTGATACTTTAGAGAGAGTGGCGGGGCTGCAGGGAGAGGACCTGGTTGAAGCCCATGGCACCTTCCACACCTCCCACTGTGTGAGCTTCTTCTGCCGGAAGGAGTACACCATGGAGTGGATGAAAGGTTCAGTATGCTTTCTTACATGTAATGGGAATTTGTGCTGCGTTCATAACAGCTGGGAGCTCGGAATTTTCCATCCTGGAATCTCCCACATTCCATCTAAAAGATACTTAAGCTGTTTTAGGTCGGTAAAAGGCTCACTGTAAGGTAGCTCTAGTTGGGCGGCTGCATGTGCAAAAAAAAGCTCTTAAAATGTGTTTACAGTTGAATGAAAAAGTGGACATAGTTTACCACAATATACTGTTAATATAGTGCTGAAAAATGGCTTAACCTTTATCCTAGTGTTTATCAACATCATATACAAATAGCAAACTATTTCACCTCTTGTTGTGCACATTAAAAGCAACTTGTGTGCGAATAGTGCCCCCTGCTGGGAAAAAAACTGCAGACTGCTACATGCGCACAAGTTCCAAATCCACATTTTTGTGCTTTACATCTTAAAAAGAAGGTGTTTTCCATCATTATCACAGAGTCGCTCTGGAAATCAGCTCTGGGGAACCTCTTACGTATTAAATTCTATTATGTTTACAACATCAGGGGGCTTAGGCTGTCCGGAAAGTGCTGAGAAACTTCCGCAGACCTCCCAGCATAATTGTTGGCAGCTACGCGTGCAAAAAAGCTCTTAAAATTAGTTTGCAAATGAATGGAAAAGTGGTTGTAGGCTACCACTGTTATACTACAGGGAGATTCACTTGAAAGAGACCCTGAATATTCTGCTAAACTCCTGTTAGGATGGAGCAATCTGAAGCAAAAAAATACACTACATACCTTGACGTATGTGTAATCGATTGCATTACATGAGACGCTGGAAGTGATCTCCGTTTTCTGCCAGATGCATGAAGGGGTATGGGGGTATGCATCCAGAAGTTGCAAACAGAGGTTAAATGTTGCGACGGCTGTCCGGTGCCCACCTCATTGTTCTGACGCAGGGGCATCCCGGCTTGATCGAAGCTCCATATACTGAGGAGCTTGTTGCATGTTGTTTGGTTCAGATTGCTTCGTCCTAGAGAGAGTTATTACAGAATATTCGGGGCCTCTTTCGAGTGAATCTCCCTGTGCTATACTGTTAATATAGTGCTGAAAAATTAGACAAGAGCATGAATTTTGATTAACAATATTGTACAGGATGGCTCAACCTTTATCCCAGTGTTTATCAACATCATGTACAAATAGCATATGATACGCATAAAAAAAGCTTAAAACATGCTTTTAATGCTGTTCTATATGAAACAGCAACTAGGAAAAGAAAGAGCTCTGACTTTCCAAATGGGAATTACGAGGTGGAGGGACAGTCAAGTAAAGTTAATGGGTTGAATGTTTTTGAGTAGAGGATTGCAGTAAAAAAATTGCAGTTGTCATTCTGTACTCAACATTGATTTATTGGTCTACTCAGGCTTTAGCAGAGCTCAGTAACGCTAAAATTAATAACTGATCACATTGATTTATCAGGCTACTCAGGCTTTAGCAGAGCTCAGTAACACTGAGATTAATAACTGATCACATTGATTTATCAGTCTACTCAGGCTTTAGCAGAGCTCAGTAACACTGAGATTAATAACCGATCACACTGATTTATCAGTCTACTCAGGCTTTAGCAGAGCTCAGTAACGCTGAGATTAATAACCGATCACACTGATTTATCAGCCTACTCAGGCTTTAGCAGAGCTCAGTAACGCTGAGATTAATAACCGATCACACTGATTTATCAGTCTACTCAGGCTTTAGCAGAGCTCAGTAACGCTGAGATTAATAACCGATCACACTGATTTATCAGTCTACTCAGGCTTTAGCAGAGCTCAGTAACGCCGAGATTGATTACTCTATTATCATCAATCTTTACAGCCTGTGTGTTGATTTTGAAATAGTTACTTAACAGGCTGTGATGGTGTTTCTTTGAAAGAATACTTACTGGGTAGTTATTTTAAAAGTATTCCCCTAAAAATGTAGAAGGTAACTGTTCTGAACGCTGCCTTTACTAAATGTAACTTGGAATGAATACAGATTTTTTTATTGACCCTCTTTAACGCACAGAGAAGATCTTCTCCGAGGACATCCCCAAGTGCGAAGCCTGCAACAATCTAGTCAAACCTGGTGAGTTCAGACCTTCTTCAGTTCAAACTCTGTTTAGCTCCTCGTTTTCATCATTGACATGGTAACTTGTTTATTATAATGAGTGGCAACATTAAAAGGTGGTATAATTTTTTTCACTGGGATTTTTTGTTGTTAAAACTGTCCTAACTGAGTTAGGAGAATAAAATCAGGTTAAAATATGGTGAGTGTGCGCTGCTGCGAGTCGCCCTGTGAAGTCTGAAATAATCATTTGAAAATCCGGCTCTATGTTTAGGCCTCAAATGATGTCAAGTCAACGTTATGCTGATGAAGATATGATGACAATAGTATCTGCTGTTTAGCAGTCCTGTTTTAGAAATAAGGGGGGCGGGGGGGCAGGAAGTGGCCAGGCTCCTAATAAACTGGCTCTGATGTGCACACTTTGCATGCAATTACTCATTTCCACCAAATACCCAAATCCTATGTAGTGCTGCTTTAAACAAAACCAGTCCAAATGTATTATTATATAATACTGTGTATACAACGTTCAGGCGTAACATTATGACCACCTCCTTGTTTCTACGCTCATTATCCATTTTATCAGCTCCACTTACTATATAGGTGCACTTTGTAGTTCTACAATTACAGACTGTAGTCCATCTGTTTCTCTGCATACTTTATTAGCCTGTTCTTCAGTGGTCAGGACCCCCATGGACCCTCACAGAGCAGGTACTATTTGGGTGGTGGATCATTCTCAGCACTGCAGTGACACTGATGTGGTGGTGGTGTGTTAGTGTGTGTTGCGCTGGTATGAGTGGATCAGACACAGCAGTGCTGCTGGAGTTTTTAAACACCTCAGTGTCACTGCTGTCCACCAAGCAAAAATACCCAGCCAACAGCGTCCTGTGGGCAGCGTCCTGTGACCACTGATGAAGGACTAGAGGATGACCAACACAAACTGTGCAGCAGCAGATGAGCTATCGTCTCTGACTTTACATCTACAAGGTGGACTGACAAGGTAGGAGTGTCTAATAGAGTAGACAGTGAGTGGACACAGTGTTTAAAAACATCCAGCAGCACTGCTGTGTCTGATCCACTCGTACCAGCACAACACACACTAACACACCATCACCACGTCAGTGTTACTGCAGTGCTGAGAATGATTCACCACCCAAATAGTGCCTGCTCTGTGAGGGTCCATGGGGGTCCTGACCACTGAAGAACAGGGTAAAAGCCAAATATGCAGAGAAACAGATGGACTACAGTCTGTAATTGTAGAACTACAAAGTGCACCTTTATAGTAAGTGGAGCTGATAAAATGGGCAATGACCGTAGAAACAAGGAGGTGGTCATAATGTTATGCCTGATCAGTGTATATCACTATACCATATTGTTGGACAGTGCCCATTAAAAGATGGCCATAATAATGCTCCTACATTGCTGTATTTTATGAAGTTACACAATGTGACGATTTGCTTCTTTATACCTTTATATTTCTTTAACACCTTATTTGGATGGTAACTGTAGATGCTCGGTTTATCTTTAACTAACATTCAACCAAATGTCTAGTTAATGCAGCTGAACTTGTGTGTGAAAGGTTCTATTAAATCTAACCCTAGCCTCAAGCAAAACCTACACCTATTCCTAGACCTAATCCTTACCATAATGTTGTTTCTAATCAACTGAGTATCACCAGAAAGTTTGTTAATGACATATTTAGCTGTAGATCATGTATAGGGGACCATCCAATTTTTCATAGCTATGATGGAAGTTTAATCAACTGCTGATTAAAATGCTTCTTCCTCTGTCTCTTGTCAGATATTGTGTTCTTTGGAGAGAATCTTCCAGCTCGGTTCTTCAGCTCAATGAAACAGGTGAGGAGGAACTAAATAGCTATAACTTTGTGCTACACAGCATCACCTACTCTAATACTTTAATGACTAACCTGCAATTATTCTCTTTCCTCCTCTGCAGGACTTCCCCAACTGTGATCTCCTCATCATAATGGGCACTTCTCTACAGGTTCAGCCGTTTGCATCTCTTGTCAGCAGGTAAGAAATACATAGCACATCAGAGACGCAGGAAGTTGGGGGGCTGAGGGAGCTGAGGGGGCTGCAGCACCCCCTGATTTCAGGACTGCAGCTGTTAAAAATAATAATAGTAGTAAAACATTCTGACATTTATAGTAATTTGAGCATAGTGAAGATCCGTGTGTTTGTATTTTAATATTTTAAAAATCTGCAGTAGCTGCACTGTTTAAGAGAACGCCGTATTTTCATCGCAGTGAGCCAAAAACTGTTGGCTGCTTCGGGTGCATTGCTCAGACACATGCAGGTTGAGGTGCAAACGGAGGAAGTCTATGCAGTTCTGAATCCTAAAGCAGACTAATATGGTCTTTTAAACATAAAAAGAATCATCTAATGTAATAATGCAGCTTTATCAACTAGTATATCTCCTGCTCGGTTTCAGTGTTAAATCTCACGGTGTGAAGGTGGGCGTCACATACTTGGTATCACACATCACACACACCAGTAATCTGATTGGATGCCAAAAAACATGGCAAATTATTTTTCATGACATCACAGATCATGTCACATGCACGCTGCTTAAAATTTCAGCACCCCAATTTAAAACACCTTCCCACTTCCCACATTTTGGATAGATCAACTAAAAGCTTATGCCGTTTGTTTCTTTGACGTTAAGGATTCGAACGTTTTGGCACTTCATGATTCAACATATCAAATTAGGGTGCCAAGCTGCTTATATATAGATTTCTGATGCATCCCTATTTTTAATTTCTATAAACCTACTTTGTGTTTTGTTTTTGCTTTTTATTTAAAAAATGTTTAACTGATTAAATTAAAATCTTTCAAAGTTATTGTATATTCAATACTGTAATACTGAGTAACTGAAAATTTTTACAACCTATATCACCTCTTGTTGTGCACATAAAAAGCAACTATGCATACTTTTGTATGCTAAAAGCGCCCCCTGCTGGAAAAAATCCCTCAGACTGCTAAACATGCACAAGTTCCAAAGCCACATTCTTGTGCTTTTACATCTTTTCCATCATTATCACAGAGTTGCTCTGGAAATCAGCTCTGGGGATTAAATTCTACTATGTTTACAACATCAGGGGGCTTAGGCTGTACGCAAAATGCTGAGAAACTTCCTCAGACCCCCAGCATAATTTTTACTTTGTAAGCTAACTTTACAGTTAATCATTCAGGAAATATTTAAAGGGATCATGTCATGTGAAGCTAAATTTTCCCTACTTTTTTTAAATAAAACATTAAAGTATGAACATCTATAAAGTTCCAAAATTCCTTACACTCCACAGTCCATACATGGAAACTGAGCTACACAAACAGCCTGTTTTGAATTCAGTGTTCCTGTGATGTCACGAAAACCAGCACATTTACATATCTTCACCCATTCACCCTACAGCTCCGCCCCTTCATATTGAAGTTGTAAAGAGTGTTTCAGCCCAAACTGCTTTTAAACAAGGCACAATTAAATTTATTTAGAGAATTGTGATTATGATTATTGTCCCGCCTCTAAAATATGTAAATGGCAGGTCTGTCTTCTTCTGTCCACAGAGTTCCAAACAGTTGTCCTCGACTCCTGATCAACCTGGAGAAGACAGGACAGGTTGTGACTGACATTTGCGTTATAATTGAAATGTTGTTATGTGTATTTGAACATCATTTCTAATATAAAAAGTCTATATTAAATAACATATTCAGTACAAAAAGTAATATTTTTTCATATTTTTAAAATATATAGACAAACAGTTTAGTTTATATTTGATACATTTTTCCCTCACACTTAATATTTCTTGTGCTTTTCTGATAGTCGGATTTTCCGTCGGGATTACTGGGTTTCGGAGGAGGGATGGATTTTGATTCAGATAAAGCTTACAGGTGAGTGGTCCATGCACTGTCCACTACTGCTCTGTGGTGGTTCTCAAAGAATATGATGTACTGATGATTTATAGCTTTGTCTTGGTGTTGTTTACAGGGATGTTGCACACTTGAGCACTTGTGATGATGGTTGCTTGGCTTTAGCAGACCTGCTGGGCTGGAAGGTAACGGAAACAAAGTGCGCATTCACACCCGCCCACACACAAAGCAGAAGCCCACCGCCTCATTTATTTTAAGCATGAGTTGTTAGCCTGTTAGCTACATCTACCCTGGACCTGCAGGCAGTGGCCATTTTATTGGAAACACCTACCATATAGGTGCATTCTGTAGGATTACAGTTACAGACTGTAGCTCATCCGTTCCTGCGCAGTTTATCAGTTTATACCTTTATCCCAGTCAGCCCTGGAAAGGGGCCACAACAGGACCACCACTGACAGGATATTGTTTGGGTGGTGGTCCACTTCTGAGAGTATCCTGACAAGCGGCTCTGTGGTCAGAAACTGATGAAAGGCTCGAATCAGAATGTTTATCAGAATGTTTATCAGAATGTTTATTCACCAAGTATGAGGTGTACAAGGAATTTCTCTTGGTGTGTAAAATTAAATCCAATAAAATAAATATAGAAAAAGATATGCATAATCATAAAATAGAACCATAAAATAGACAAAAAACAAACAAACTGCAATTAAAAGGATATGCATTAGAGATCATACAGATACAGTCAAGCACTGAGGTACATATAAACAGTATGTACAACTAAGAGAACTGAGCAGGAAATATAAATGTAAATGTACATGTAAACATATCATTAAATATGTGGGTGGACAGAGGGTAGATAACACAAACTATGCATCAACAGAGTGGAGGGGTTCTGGTCAAGTGACCCCTGTTTATCGTTATACACAAATGTGCTAAGGGACAAAATAACAGAAACACCAAAGAAGTGCCCAGATCACAGCTACACATTTAAAGCTGCACCATGTGTGTTTCAGGGTTTTGGAGACCTCTGTGGTCAAAATGTGTAATTGCATGCAACATGTGGAAGAACATTGGGCAGGGTGGGTTGTGCTTTAGCCCCCTTCCCTAAATGGCTCAATCTGATTACTGAAAGAGAATTCAAAGAGAATTCAGTCAAAACTTGCCGAAGGAGAGTCTTCTGAGGATGTGAGTGAATTATCTACTATTCTCATCATATCTTCTTCAGTATGATGTTGATTTTGAGATCATTTGAGGACTAAACATCGAGCCGGACCTTCTTTTTGATCGTGTGCATGTGACGTTAATACGTAAAGACGCACGATGTGGTGTGAAAAACACCCGACCCGACATCTCTGACTTTTAATTGATTATTTCAGGCTTTACAGGCGACTCGCAGCAGCACACACTCAGTATATTTTAGCCTTTTTTTATTCTCCTCACTCAGTAATGACACTTTTTTTCAGTTTTAACAACAAATGTCTTACATAGTGCAAGAAGCCTGATTAGAATTTCTGAGTTTTCAAAGCAACATGAGGCAACTAAAAGAGCTCTAGTGTGGAAATTGCCAGTGTATCAGTCAGAAAAACTGCAGAATTTGTAGCATGTCTAAGAAAACAGCCTCAGTGATCATGACAACATGTGCTAAACATAAACAAAGACTTCTGGCTGAGAGGAACAGAAGTTGTGAAGTGGAAGTTAGTGGCTGGATTGTTTCTTTATTTTAGGGAACACGTTGGAGGTTTATTAAGGGCTTGTTCTTTGTTCACTAAAGCCCAAATTAGACACTCCTACATGGTTTATGAAGCTTTATTCATTATTACCTGTGCATAACTGGAGAACTGCAATGTGAAAATCACTAATAATTAAATTATTAATTGCAGTAAAGCACAGGAAACACTAAGACCTTGTTATGCATGAACATCATCAGCTAAATGCACATATTATTAGTGTATATTACTTATAGAGTTGGGTCATATTTTGATAATAACAAAACATTGAAATCTCTTCCACACAATAGTTTCATTTATTCACATTTTACTAGTCACTGAAATGGGTTGATTTTAAAAATTCACTTAATTCACTTAAAATGTTCCCAGTTTGTATGTTTTTGGCTACCAAGAACCATGAAATGGTCTTGGCTTTAAAATATGGAACACACTGTGAAGTATAAGTGACTTATTAAACTCTTATTAGCTCTAAAGTAGTGAATCCCAGAATCCACCCACACTACTTAGAACCTACAGGAGTCAAATACTGCCAATTATGCACTAATAAGATGTGAATTCAGATAATAATTCATGCATGACAAGATCTTAAAGGGCCCATATCATATAAAACATTTTTTTATTTAAAGAATTTTGCTCCCTTTCTTGAGGTAAAAGAGTTTGGTGGTGTATGTAAAAATTGTGGGAATTTCAGACATGGACATACAGTCTATATGTGGGAATTAAGCTGTAAAAGCAGCCCGTTTTAAATTTGTTTAAAATTTGTTAAATAGTAAAACAGTCTGCTGAGTCATCTTTCACCCCTTTTTTCTGCGTTCGTTTACATTTGCAGGAAACCAATAAAAGTCATTAATCCACAGTATCTATTCCGAACTGTTAAACATAGTGTTGGCTAATAAAGTGGCCGGTAAAATCTCACCTAATTGGTAGGCGCACCTGATCAAATGTCAGCTCAGTATAATTAAGCTGTTGTGCCTTCTTTTTTTTTTACCTTTCTTCCATCTCAGGCGGAGCTGGAGGAGTTGGTGAAACGCGAACACGCTTTGATTGACAGCAGAGATGCAAAAAAGAAAGGCGAGAAGTCCAGCCAGAGCTCCGGAGCCTCTGAGAAGGCTAAGGGGGCGGAGTCTGAGGCTGGGAAGAGTGACAAGACGGAGTAACCAATCAGGAAAATCGGACCCCAGCCCGGGACTGCCCATGTGGCTCCATGAACGGTCATTTTTACTTCGTCTCCCTCCTCTTTCTGTCTCTTTGGAATGGTCAACTCCACCAAGAAGGACAAGGTTTGGTTTTCTAGAAGAACAGAAGATCTAACATCCTATTATAGTCCATCACCATCTTCTGATCACGCTTTAGGGCAACCAGGTCCAGAGCAGTTAGCAATAGACACCATATAAGCTTTAAGCTGTACTGAAAATTGAGCAAGGAGAGGTGTAGGGCAGCAGATACAGAGCCATTCATGGGAGCTCCTCTTCAAGGGGAATTCCACCAAATTTGCTAAATTTCTGCATAATCAAACAGTTAAGATGTAAACAGAGCAGTTCAGAGTTGTTTGGTGTGAAACGCTCTGTTCTAGTTAAACTTACCAAGTCAGAACTGTTTACAGTGGTGGTGATGGGAACCAGACGTCCACCTCTAAAAGCTCCCTCACAGAAAGTTACTACATGAAATGGTTATGAATTCACTGCCTGATGACTGGTGATAGTTTTGAGAAGGTTTTGGTTCTGAAACTAAATTTTGGTTCTAAAACATTCATGGTGGAGGGATACATGCAGGGCGTTGTGAGGCAAAGTAGTCCCTAGAGAAAACTTCTTCTAACTATTTTACTTTGAACATTACATATAAAAACTCAGAAGGCTTGCGTAGGTTCGCTGGTGCTTTTGGGTAGTAAATAAAATGTCTTTACAGTAAATCATTTCACATCAAACCACTCTGAATGACTTTGTTTACATCTCAACCACTAAATTATGGAGGAATTTTTGAAAAATTGTTGGTATTCCCCTTTGGGTGTGCTGGTTGGGTCAGAAAAACTCCAGTTTCACTGTAATTCACCTTAATTATGAAACGCATAAGAATAAGGATTTTAGCAGCTGTTTGCAATCCAATCAGTTTTTATTATTATTATTATTATTATTATTATTATTAATAATAAATTATGCTTATAATAAGTCCATTAAGGCCCCACGTGAAATGGTCTCATTTGCACATGAGTGTTTACTACTTTGATCGAGTTTAACGCTTCATATTATAAAACCTAGTCGTGGGAGATTTGCAGTGTCCCCCCTCCTTTTTTTGTATAAGCGATTTCTTAATGTATTTCTTTTAAGAGTATTTTTATTAATGCCTTCATTAATTATAATAACATATGTCATGCAGTCTATTAAGTTAACCTAATTGACGCCTGATTTGAGGTTTCTCTTTTTGTTGGCATGTTATGTATCTCAATGGCATGATGCAAAAGCATAAAGCTCACAGCAGTATTTGACGAATATTACTGTGATTTGCTCCCGGAGTTGATGCATTAGGTAACCAGCAAAAATGGGAAATAAACAAAATGCAAATGAACGAACAGTGTTTTTGTCCCTTTTTTTCAGAAAAGGAGTGTCCAGTTGTATTAATAGCTTTTTATTAATATTAATAGCTGTTCTAATAACGGTTCCTGAGTTAATGTATTGAGACGACAGCAGCACAAACGAAATTGCATGAGGAAGAAGAAGCTGTGGCTCAGTAGTGAAGGTCGTCCTCTTCTGGACGCCACAGAGGTCAAACAGCTCTTCATGTGTTTATGCTCAGTATTGGTTTGTCATCTCTGTGCTAACTGTGCGATAAGTGTGATCTGCCTGTCAGAGTTACAGATAATGATTATTTACACAACTTTTCTGCATCCATCATTCAAAAAAAACTATTGAATCTTGTATGACATGACATCACATCACATCCTCTACCAGAAACAAACTTTTTCAGTGTCTTTCTGCTAATTTTAGTGCACAGCCTCTATTTATTTGCCTTACTTTTTGCACAGGCCACATTTTATGTTGAATTTTTTTCCCAAATATGTTAAATTCCCTAAATGAATTTCTTTTCAGTTATTATGTATTAAAATGTTTTCTCTATACAGGATGTATTAACTTTTTTACACTTATAAAATCAATACACACAGCGATCAGACATAACATTATGACCACCTCCTTGTTTCAACGCTCATTGTCCATTTTATCAGCTCCACTTACTATATAGGTGCCCTTTGTAGTTCTACAAGTACAGACTGTAGTCCATCTGTTTCTCTGCATACTTTGTTAGCCCCCTTTTACCCTGTTCTTCAGTGGTCAGGACCCTCACAGAGCAGGTTCTATTTGGGTGGTGGATCATTCTCAGCACTGCAGTAACACTGATGTGGTGGTATTGTGTTAGTGTGTGTTGTGCTGGTACGAGTGGATCAGACAAAGCAGTGCTGCTGGAGTTTTTAAACACCTGTGTCACTGCTGGACTTAGAATAGTCCACCAACTAAAAATATCCAGCCAACAGCGTCCTGATCGGAGTATATACAGTAAAAAAGTGGTTCGTCAGATCTACCTAAAAATAGTATTTCTATTTATTGTATTTTTACCTTATTTGTGTTTGTGTGCTTGTCTGGTCTGTTCAGTTGGCACTGTATTGTTAAAATACTCGGCGAAATAAAGTGATTTTGATTTTATAAATACGGCCTGTGCAAGAGTTATGTGCATTATATCTATCTGTTATATATAGTATGTCTCTGTAGAAGATGTGGAAACTAAATTTTACTTAGAAAATCAGCAACAATGAGAAATTCAACCACAAACTTTTGCATACAGCTCTATAAATATAGGACAGAGCGTCAGGATGCCGACTCCGTCTGTCAGTGTACATGTACTGAGAAAGCCTGTTCAGTTCAAAGCAGCTCAGCTCTGCCTGTTAGTGAGCGTGTGCGTGTGTGTGTGAGTGAAATAGAGAGGTTTACCACAGAGAGAGGAAACACACACTCACACACACTGACACACACACACACAATAGCTCAAAACTGGGTGTGTTTTTTAAAAAAAAAGAAAAAAAAGGAGAAATATCACACATTGTTCCAGCTGACCAGACCGGTGCAGGTCCAGTCAACTCCAGCAGGAGAGGAGAAACCCTTTGCTGAACGGCTGTGAAAGTGAACCTTTGACAGCTGTGACTGGCAGTAGGGAGGTGCTGAGCGCCGGGGAAGGCCGTGCAGCGAGGAGCTGTAGGCGTGATGCTCAGTGGGTGGCAGCTGCGAAGAAAGTGAAGAAACGTTGTAGAAGCATCCAGAGAGTCGTCACATGTGAGTTATCACTTCTAACTTTTTTTAATGTTTGGTGTGACAATTTGCTGGTTCTACGTGTTGAGTTTAGAGTGTTAGTCTGACTGAACGTTCGTAGACCACAGAGTGCTGCGCTGAAATGACCTTGAACATGTACATCACTTTAAACACTTACAGTAGTAGCTGTGTTGATGTACTTCACATTTTTCACTGCTGATGAACCTTTCTGCCTTAAAATCACTCATTTTGATCATTCTGTTTTCAGTTTTTATCTGTTAAAACCACTTAAGCTCTTTAAGAGCCATAAATGGATCCGTGCTTCATTTCCTAAGTCTTATATATTGAATATTAGACTCATAGTGGCTACCAAACTATTCTATTTACAGTAGACCTGAATTTAAAGTTTAAAGGGGTTCAAATGCTTGATGATATCATGAATCAATGGGGCCGCTTTTCCCCCAATTTTCATCCGATCAGCTCAGATGAGGGCTTAGATATCAATAGAGAGGCACAGGGAGTGGACAAAATAACAGAAACACCATGAACTAGTCATACTTATTGGACATTTTATCAGAAACGCCTGCCGTAAGCCGGGCGATATGGCAAAAATAGCATATCACGATACTTCAAGACATTTTCACGACACACGATACATAATCACGATATCTAGGTTCTCTGAAGCTTCATAAGCTGGATCAGAAAAAGAGCCACATTTTAAATATCCTAAAAAAGTTCATCAGTGTTCTTTATGTACTGAGAATATCATGGATATTATCAGAAATGAGTATTGCAACAGAATTTGTCACAATAACTATAAAATATCATCATATTGACCACCTCTAAATAGAGCTAAGCTTAAATATTAGAGCTGATCCTTCAGTTCAAGCAGTAAATCTCAAAATAAATGTTCATAAACAAGAACCCACCACTACAATAATGTTAATTTCTGCTAGTGCCTTTATGGGATTCTAGTAGTATGTTAGCGATGAGCTAGCAGTTATTCACATGGACATTTTTGGGCTGTTCTAGTTTAAACACAAACATTTTAATCTTTTAAAAGTCATTCCATATTTTTTATCTGAAGCTTGTAACAGACATTAGCTTATATTTGAGCTTGTATCAGTGTTACAGTGACTCTTTCAGTAAAGAGTTCTGACATTGAGCTGCTGACATTGTTTTACATTCCTCACAACTAACCAGAAGACTGCTTAGACTCGTATTCACAGTTGGTGACGTATCTAGAACCTCCAGAAGATGTTTAATCTAATCTTCTTGGTTGATCCGCTTTCTAGTTATGTTGGTAGTTAATCGAACGTGTAAGGTCTTCAGTCCAGTTCCTGAAGTCCTGACCAATGGGAGAGCAGCTCAGTTATATCTGATATCTACATACCAAGAGAGAACAATCCTTATTGGATCATCTTCTGTCCAGATTTTAACCCTTTTGTTTCCAACCAAATTCCAACAGTGAAACAACAAGCATGATGATTCCATTAAATCAAAAATTACCTAAAAATTACAGACATTTATGTGTTTATTTCACAAAAGTCATCAGGCCTCCAGAGGGTTCCTCACTGGAGACCTAATAATAGACCATCCAGTCAGTGGTGGTCCTGTGGTGGTCCCTTTCCAGTGATAAATGTTGCAGAGGAGGGGTAATAAGCATAACTGTAATAAACTACTGTAAACCTTTATGTGCACTTATATGGTATATATACCATATACTAATTGTCCAATCGTAGCTTAGCAGCTGTAACTAGGCCTCGGACAAGGAGTCCTCTTATATCCCCATATGGAATCTGATATCCCCAGATGGAAATCTGATATATGGCAATACATGTATTTGAAATATGTGACATACATTAGTGTATATGGATTTCCCTCATATACTGAAGGTTTATTTATCACATATGTGACATATATGCCAACTTATTTGAAATTGGCCCTTTCCAAATATGAGAAATATATTTCAGTTATACATCACCCTATACAAACATATATGTGTAACACATATTTAACAATATAAGTTAGAAAGCATTAATCATATATACTAGCTCCATGTTATATAAAATTTTTTTCATTGCATATATATGTCGCTGGTGTATTTTATTAAATTTTTTGCTTTGAAAAAGGTCTTTCAGTGTTTGTATCAGAGGGACAGTGTACATGTGATCCATATATTATCAGACACATATGTATGGTCCATATTATGCATATATGTCCAAGATTTGATATATGTGTACATATATCACTGCTGTCGGAAGAAAACCTTCTATCTCATTTTTTGTCGTTTTTGAGTTTTTGACATATTTTTGATGCCTGTTTGACTTTTCTGTACAGTCTAAGCTCTACAACCCGTTATAGCCGCCGTCCCCAGGCTGAGAAAACACCTAAAATTTCACCGTTCATCACGTCTGTTGGTAACATACCAGAGAAAAAGATCAACACCCAGATAAGAGCAGAGAAAGTAGAAATAGCTGAGGTAAAAGGATGTGGCGACGCTGCCGGCACATTGCTTAATTTCCTTCTTTGTGTCTTACTTCATTTCCTTGTGTTTCGTGTCGGTGTCATGACTACGTTGTCACAGCACGGATGGCGGAGTCACAGCAGCGTTCTGAAAGAGGCCTGAACACACATCCTGAAAAGGTCACAACTGCACCCAGATGAACAGGGACGATGAAGGGACTGGAGGACGAGCCCACACACAGTGGGAGCAGGTAAGAAAACAACGTGTTCACATCATTATATTAAAGAGTGATTAAGTGGCCATTGACTGAAAACATGGGGTGAGTGTTCCTAATAAAGTGGCCAGTGCGTGAAAGCACAGGGTGGGTTGGTGTTTCTAATAATGTGGCCAGTTAGAGAAATCACAAGATAGGTGTTTCTAATAAACTGGCCAGTGAGTGAAAACACAGGGTGGGTGTTTCTAATAAAGTGGCCAGTGAGTGAAAACACAGGGTGGGTGTTTCTAATAAAGTGGCCAGTGAGTGAGAGCACGTGGTGAGTGTTTCTAACTAAGTGGCCAGGGAGTGAAAGCACAGGGTGGCTGTTTCTAATAAAGTGGCCAGTGAGTGAAAGCACAGGGTGGGTGTTTCTAATAAAGTGGCCAGTGAGTTAGAGCACAGGGCGGGTGTTTCTAATAAAGTGGCCAGTGAGTGAAAGCATGCGGTGGCTGTTTCTAATAAAATGGCCGGTGAGTGAAAGCATGGGGTGGGTGTTTCTAATAAAATGGCCAGTGAATGAAAGCACAGGATGGGTGTTTCTAATAAAGTGGCCAGTGAGTGAGAGCACAGGGCGGGTGTTTCTAATAAAGTGGCCAGTGAGTGAAAGCATGGGGTGGGTGTTTCTAATAAAATGGCCAGTGAGTGAAAGCATGCGGTGGCTGTTTCTAATAAAATGGCCAGTGAGTGAAAGCACAGGATGGGTGTTTCTAATAAAGTGGCCAGTGAGTGAAATCACAGGGTGGGTGTTTCTAATGAAGTGGCCAGTGAGTGAAATCACATGGTAGCTGTTTCTAATAAAGTGGCCAGTGAGTGAAATCACATGGTGATACATTAACTCTGTTCCATTCACATAAATACTCTTCCTGTTTCCAGGACAAGCTCACATAACAAGATAACCAATGGGGACTCATCGAAACAGAAAAGTCCCATGAGTCTCCTGCATGGTCTGCGCCTGTGTCAGGAAGCCTGGGACCCGGGAAGCCCTTGGGACAAGCATGGAGCTCACGCCGCGCTCTGGGGCAGACCTGCAGGGGTGAGTCTCAGTTAACTTATGATGGGTGGTCCACTAAGACTGTCTCCTTCAAGTGTTTAAACTCTCCTCCAGAGTGGATGGTGAGCGTGCACATCCACACTGGTCAGTAAAACGGATCAGCATGTGGAATTGGAGCTTTCTGTGCGCTGCAGTGTTTCCTATCATTGTATAGAAGAAGCTGCTGCCTTTATTGTAGAATGCTGCATGATAGTTTGTGAACCACATTCAGAACACAATCCCCATCACGTTGCCATGGAAACCTTATTGCTCAGAGTAACAAAAAGACACAAAAATGTGAGAAATATTAATGTTGGTGCGTTCACTCATTTAAAATGGCAGTTTATGACTCAAAATAGATAAGAAATATACACAAATATCAGGTTTGTTAGGTACATGTTCTTTACGTATCATAAATGAATATGATAGCAGTGTTGATGAATCACAGTGTGAATGGAGGAGAAATGGAGGCAGAAATAGATGCTTTTTGGCCAAAGGTTAAAGTTTTTATAACAGAATTTGGACTTCAGTCCTGAATTAAGATTAAGAGACCCTTATTAGTCCCACAACAAGGAAATTTCACCTCCACAATCTAACCCATCCGTGCAGTAAAACACCACATACACACAGTGAGCACACTTGCCTGGAGCGGTGGGCAGCCTTATCCACAGTGCCCGGGGAGCAGTTGGGGGTTAGGTGTCTTGCTCAAGGGCACCTCAGTCACGTACTCTTGGCTCAGGGGATCGAACTGGCGACCTTCCAGTCACAAGGCTGGTCCCCTAACCTCCAGCCTATGACTGCCCCCAGTATGAGTATCTACAATATTATGGCAAAATATTCAACACTTGCCATCATTTGAACGCACAGTGTTTATTTGATTGAACAGAAAAATGAAATTATAACAGATTAGTTAACTGCATATAGCTTCGTTCAGCCTGTTCTGAAAGGAAAAATGACAGTGAGATGAGGACGATATAGTTAGTCTCCACTGGGTGTCCAAAAGTGTCCAGACAGCCCTTCTAATATGTGAATTCAGCTATTTTAAGGTCACCCATTGCTGAAAGCTTGTACAATCTCCATAGAAAAGCACTGACCAATAGAATGGGATGCTCTAGAGCAGCTGCACATGAGCCTAGAATCACCATGCTCAATGCCAAGCGTGTGCTAGAGGGGTATAAACAGCATTGGGCTGTGGAGCAGTGGAACTGTGTTCTCTGGAGTGATGGAGCTCCATCCAATAACTTTGGGATGAGTTGGAGTGTCGTTTGGTTCCCCTGTAGCCAGAATACACTGTGAATACAGGGTTAGTGCATTTAAATGAAGAACTGAAAGCCTGGAAAGGTGTGACTGACCCTAAGCGTACAGATGCTGTTCGGATCAGAGCAATATTTAACGCTATACAATAGAATGAGACATAAATAACAAACATTAGTTACAGTTGATCTTATTGTTGTAGGATGTTCATAAGCTTCCTTTTCTGTCTACTTCCCTTTTGATCACAAACCATTGCAGAAGTAGCAGTACTTAATCAGACAAGTCATGCTGGGGGGGAGGGGGAGGGGGGGAGAGAGAGAGAGAGAGAGAGAGAGAGAAAAGATAGAGAGAGAGAGAGAGAGAGAGAGAGAGAGAGAGAGAGAGATGTTGGATGATGGTAACAAGCAAGTGTGGTAAGATATACTGGCTAAATTCACCATTTAAAATACTTTAAATGCATTTGAAATGTACTTTATATATTATATACATTTATATATGAGACTTAAAGATCTATAGGCTTAGCTTTAGCAGGAAGGACGGAGGAGAAGCACATAAACTGTTGTTATTCAGGAAATAGAAAATAGATTCAGTCCCTTTTGAGCTCAGAAATGCCTCTGATATTTAGTTTTGAACTCATGCTGTAGCTTCCAGGATTGCGTAAGAGAATCTTAGGTCAAATAAAATTTCAGTAATGCTACCCAAAAAATCTGAATTTCGCAAAAAGTATTTTTGACATTTTGAACTGACTGAAAGGTTCAGTTTCAAAGACAAAATATTGAACAATCTGGGATAAAAATGTAACGTTTTGTGGGAATTTACCACAAAACCAGCTGATTTAAGATTAAATTTGTATTTAAATCCGGTTCACATCTCAGCTCACTTTAGCTGTTCTGTGGTTAAACGCAGTAACTTAAGACCTGATTCGGAACCAGCTGCTGCGAACTTTAAAGAACCCTTGTCCTGCACTCTTAAAAAAGATGGTTCTTCAAGGGTTCTTTAGTAAAGAAAATGGTTCTGTATAGAACCATAAACACTCAAAGAACCCTTTGCTTGATTAAATGGTTCGTTGCATGGTGAAATGTTCTTCAGATTGATGGAGAATGAGCTGTAGATGGTTCTATATAGAACTTTTCTATATGACACCAAAAAGGGTTCTTCTATCTTCTATCTACGCTTTTTGGTGCTATTTAGAACTATATAGGGTTCTTTGTATGTATATGTTATGTATAATACATACATAAAATACATAACTGTGTATAATATGATACATGATCATTTTGCAACCTCTCTTTATCTCTTAGAATTAAACAGACTGTTTCTGTTACTGTGCCTTTAAGACTGATATATGTAAATGAGCTCTGTGCTGATTGGTTGCCCTTTATTGTGCTTTATTAAAAATAACAAAAGCAGTCTGGGATTAAACGCTCCTTATAACTTCAGCATGAATAGGCAGGGCTAAACTGTTGTAGGTTGAATGGGAGGAGATATCATCGCTGTCCAAAGTAAATCAAGTGTCTCTAAAATAGTAACTTCACAGTAGAAGGCAAAAACGTTCTTAACTTTCAATGCAAATTAATGTAAAAAGATTTTATTCCGAGCAATTTTGGAGCATTTCTTTTGGTCCATTCAACATGAAATTTTCACAGAATGTAAAGGGCAGCTGTCGTGATCAAATGATGTAGAAAAGTAAAAATCGAAAAAAAATGGAGATCCATGTTTTTTAGCAACAATTTGCACATGAGTTTTCTTCTTGTAACATCACAGAAACAGTGTAGTTTCCAAGGAGAGTGAACGTTTTTGAAACTGAAGGTTTTGAAAATGTAATGTTTACATGCTACATCAAACACCTTTATTTCCAGAAAACAAGGGAAATTCAGTTTCCCATAAAAATGAATAAATTGAAAAATATTAGGACCACATCTTTAAAATTTTGTATGGCTGTTTTCCCTTTACTTATTATGGAAATTCATGATCTGATCTACCTTGCTGAGTTGGTGTGGAATGACCAGTTAGTTTTCATATTTATTTAATCTGAGGATAAACACTTACCTGTTAGTCATGCTGTTAGAAAGGCATTCATCACGTGACATGTTGGTTTACCTTCAGCAGATTACATTATTGGTAAGCTAATAAGGTATATTAATGATTTTTATTCAAACAGTACAAATTTTAACCAATTTATATAGTATAATATGATATTATATTATTCATATACATATAATTTACAAAAAATTATAGATTCTTTAATATTCTGAGCATATTTGTTACCCTTTTTTGACAGAAAGATATCTTATCGGTATCTTGGATGTCTTATTGGTTCGAAGCCTATAATTTGACCCATGCGCAAAAAATATTAAGCCAAGAATTGGCAAATTTATCATTATATACTCACTTTTTTCCTGGCGTATGATTACGGATTAAGTAAATTAACAGCACATCATGCAATCTTTTGTAACTGAACTCAGCCCAAAACTATAAAAATATATAATATTGCATTTGGTTAAACGGCCTGTATTTCCTGCAGATTATGATTCTATAATTTGTAAATTATCTCCAAACAGACATTATACATTAATATATCAAATCATGTTATTAATTAACCGAATGAGTTAGCAACATGTTATTACTTAATAATTCTTTATAAAGGGCTATTCATGTTTGACTCAGTCTTTTATTGATTATGAATTATGTCCTGATGTGTTAGTCTACGCATTAATGTACTGTGACTAAGGAGTTAGTTAAGTATTAAGAAATGCTTATTTGTGGACCAGTATTTTAAAGTGTTGCTGTATTTATATTAAGTGCTGAGACTGTTGTTTAACTGACTTCTGTACGTCTCTATCTTTGTACACAGTGAATAGAAGCTAATACTTCCTGTTCCAAATAAGAATAAATATAAATATGATGAACCAGAGGTCCCAATGTCTACATTGCAGACATAGCTATTATACTTACTTAAGCGCTGAAGGGGAGTTTCATTTCTGAAGAGTCGTCTGCTCTTCCAGTAAGAGTCGCTGACGGGGAGAATAGAGGGAATTTGATCTCATCTTATGTTTCGGGGCTTTACAGACCTTCATAACCTTTAATATGTTTAAGCTTCATGATATACAGCAAAAGTCAGAAAGGAGAACAGTCATTACAGTCAGAACAGCCATTAAGTGCAAACTGTTCACTTTTCAGTTTCAGGGAAAAAAGCAGAAAATATTTAAAACAGAAAATTACAAACAGCTAAATCTACTCTCAGCTGTGTGAGTCAGTGAGTCACTCTTCACCTTTATTCCAGCTTCCATTCTTTTCAGGAAACTCACTTTCAGTTCCCCAAAGAGTCTGCAGACACACCTCCAAAGTTCAGTCTTAGAAGCTGGTTGATCATTTTCTAAAGTAATCAAACACATTCAGTGGTGTTGAGGTCTCGACTCTGGGGTGGTCAGTCCACTGTTCAGCTCCTTGGGTCATTCTACAGAAACGTCCATTTTTGAGCACCTAGCGTTTACAGATATATAACATTTCAAAAACATGTTAGGGTTACAATTTATTTATATTTTTAAATAAAACAATACGTTACTTTAACAATTTCACCTTCTTGAGCCTCAATTTAGCAGTATAGTTTTTTAAATCAATCAAATAGAATTCCTAGCACCACAGAAGAGCTCGTCCCCACAGTCATGTGTGAAGGCTGAGGCCATATTTTGTAGAAAAAAAAAACAAATTTTTCTGCAATTTTAACTACAATAATCTATACATGACTATGGAATATATAAATTAAATGACATAAAGAAAACAAATGCCAAATAAATATTATAAAATATATAATGAAAGTTGTTGTCCCCAGGAGTCGTGTCACTGGTGTTACCGTGTAACAAAAAATCTCTTATTTTGAAATAAAAGTCACACTGATGATATCACTTGACTTCCTTTTACCTGTTTTCTGAGGATCTATGAATAAAAGCCCATGGTGAGTCCACTGAGTCTTTCAGTTATCAGAAATTTTCTCATTTAGCTCATGATTTCATATGAAGCTTTTAGCTGAAGTCACTGGTGTGACCTACTTTATTCTGAGGTAATTGTGAAAAAATAGAATACAAATGGATTAAATTACATATTTTAGTGGATATTCCATGATTAACAACATGTGGTTTGATGCTCTGTAGCAGCTGTTTTGTAAAAAGCATGTTTCATTAAAAATGTCTCTGGTGTTACCTTTCTTATGTGTAACACCAATGAGGATCGGTAACACCAGTGACTCCTGTGGACAGATAGAAAAATGGACATTTCTGTAGTTTGACCCAAGAACGTCTTGATCTTCTCAGTCTGCTTGAGGTCTTATCTTGCTGTAGAATGAATTTCTTTCTAAACCACATATGTCAGGCTCTGGTCCTCATGGGGCAAAACACTGAAGACTTTAGCGCCGTTCCTCATTGAACAGACCTCATTAACTAATTAGTAAGGCCTTCATGAACTGAATTCAGAGTTGTAGATTAGGGTAAACACTAATATCTGCAGCCCTTTGGCCCAGAGGGTCCCCAGTTTGACAGGCCTGCCCTAAACGTTTTTTAGAGACTACTGCAGTAATGATGCGCTTAAATTGGTGCCAGCATTTAAAGGGGAATTCCATCGATTATTCATTTTTTTTCTAATATTAAGTGGTTAAGATGTAAACAAAGACAATCAGAGTGATTTGATGTGAGATAATTCATTTGTAGAGATACTTATCAACACAGATGTCTTTACAGTGGTGGTGATAGGAACCAGGGGTTGCCACGACTACCTGCAAACGCTAGGGACACAAAAATGGACATTTTTTTGGAATGACCATAAACTAAATTTTTTGCGTGTCATGATGAGTCATTGTGTGATTAATGATTCCCTCTTAAATTAGCAGCAGTGGAGTTCAGGCCGTGACGTGTAGATTTCCGTTTGAATTGAAGTAACCCTGAGATCTTTCGCATCTCTCTCACTCTGAGTCTTTTTTTCTTTTTTCGGGTTAGGTTTTCTCAGCCACTCAACTTCCTTTTACGTGTGTGTGTATGTGTATGTGTGTGTGTGTGTGTGTGTGTTTTGCATGCATATTTCTTCAGAAATGTTTAAAAAATTCTTCACTGTCATTTCAAAACTACATCAGTTTATTTTTTAAGCCTCTTGAGAACTTCAGCTGTGCTTTATATTGTGTAAGCGTTTCATGCTGAATGGTCCAGTGCATCTCACTACATCCACTTACATTACATTAAGATAAGAGTGTTTTTCCTTCTTCTGTACAGTCAGCAGAAATGTTTGTTACTCAAACAACAAAATACTGTATAAGCAGTAAGTTAACATGCATCTGAATCATTGATTGAAGTTAAATGGCCTTTATCTTACATTTTTCTTGAATTTTATGTCCTATCCCTTGACGTCTGTTTATAGTGTTACTGCTGTAGGCTGAATGAGTGGGGCTAAACTGCTGTAGGCTGAATGGGTAGGGCTAAACTGCTATGTGCTGAATGGGCGGGGCTAAACTGCTGTAGGCTGAATGGGTGGAGCTAAACTGCTGTAGGCTGAGTGGGTGGGGCTCCATAAACCTCCATTTAACCATGTTTATCTGATCAAATGCAGTTACAACCCCAAAATAATGATGCTAACACCAGCAGTTTAGCCCCGTCCAGCTTTACTGAGCTCCTCTGATCCCCCCACCATTCTCTTTCTCTCTCTCTCTCTCTCTCTGCAGAGTTTCCTGGTGGTCCCTGACTCCTCTTCCCAAAACAAAGTTCTATGCATGTCCGTGGGGGGGCAAGGAGACCCCGTTCGAGACTTCCCCATCCTTCACACAGGCTCAGGTGAGAGAAGCAAATGTTAGGAAACAGGTGTTTATCCTCTCTAATGGTCAGTAGCCAGTTTTATCATCACTCTTATAACTTAAGAATAACATGCATCTAAGTTCGCATTGCTCTCCATGTAGTTACTGAATAATTACCCTTTTAGGGAAACGCCACCAATTTTTCAAAAGTTCCACGTTAGTTAAATGTAAGATGTAAACAGTCATTCAGAGTGGTTTGGTGTGAAACGCTCTGTTCTAGAGAAACTTACAGAGTCAGAATTGTTCACAGTGGTGGGGATAGGAACCAGACGTCCACCTCTAAAAGCTCCCTCATAGAAAGTTATTACATGAAATGGTTATGAATTCACTGCCTGATGACTGAGACACTGTTTTATGATTGCTGTGTGATAAGTTTTGGCCTAAAATGTCTTGTAATCCATTTATTTTGATTTATTTGTTGGAGGGATACATGCAGGGCATTGTAAGACAAATTAGTTCCTAAAGAAAATGTATTTTTTCAGTTTTTCCACTGTTTTCCATCATCAACATTCCATATAAACTCAGAAGACTCGTGTAGGTTCACTGGTGGCTTTGGATAGTAAATAAAATGGCTATATTTGTGTTGTAGTCATGACGACCCCTGGTTCCTGTCACTAAGTCTGTAGCTTTCTCCACAACAAACCATTTCATATCAAACCACTCTGAATGACTTTGTTTACAAAACTCAGTTTATATCACAATACCTACATTTAGAGCCAGTTATTCATTCAACCTAATGAGAAACTGTAGAACAGACTCAGTTTATATCACAATACCTACATTTAGAGCCAGTTATTCATTTAACCTAATGAGAAACTGTAGAACAGACTCAGTTTATATCACAATACCTACATTTAGAGTCAGTTATTCATTCAACCTAATGAGAAACTGTAGAACAGACTTGTAGTAGTCTCAGGGGTTTAATGCTGAGCTACAGTATTCTGTGCAATACCACAAATAACACAGTGAACTCTAATTTTAGGCTGCAATGCCCCTCCTAGATTGCGGTTATTAACTGACTTTTTATTCAGTATCTATTGTGAAATATGTGTGTGAGGAATTATAGTCAGGGCTCATGTACAGACTTAGACTTGCAGTTTAGCTTCTGAAAGTTGCCTATCAGTCAAAACAGCAGCAGAAGCGAAAATAAATGTGCACAAATGCAAGCAGCCATGTCAGCAAAGCTGTAGGTTCACATAGTTTGCTTGTGAACTATAGTGCACTCTTAAAACGATAGTTCTTCAGATTGATGGGGAATGTGTTGTGCATGGTTCTATATACAGTATAGAATATATAAACATAGAAAATATATATATATATATATATATGTATTATATATTATATTCTTCCATTGTTACAAGCTTGACCATGAGTTCTATATAGAGTCATTTCATTGTTAAATGGTTCCTCGGATTGGAGAATGTGTTGTACATGGTTCCATACAGTACCTAAAAGGGCTCTGCTATTGTTACGATGTCATGTTTATGACAATGAAAAAAGGTTCTACATACATACATACATACATACATCATCTAAACCGCTTATCCTTCTGGGTCGCGGTGGGGTGCTGGAGGCTATCCCAGCTGTCACTGGGCAGAAGGCAGGATGGTTCTACATAGATATATACTATATACAACACATTCTCCATCAGTCTCAGGGACTGTTTCACCATGCAAATAACTATATAAGTATATATATATATCTATATAGAACTCCTGGTTCTAAATATTGCCAATTCCTTTCCTAAAGAAGCCTTGAAGAACCATGTTTTTTAAGAGCGCACATTATCACAGTGCAGGGCACACTGTTCAGTGATATAAACAGCAAAATAAGATTTTATTTACTATCCAAAACCACCAGTGAACCTACACGAGTCTTCTGAGTTTATATGGAATGTTGATGATGGAAAATAGTGGAAAATCTGAAATAATCATTTTTTGGGGGGACTATTTTGCCTCACAACACCCTGCATTGGTGAACTTGTTCTTTAATGTCTTCACAATAGCGTGTATCACAGTTACTCAGAGGTTCACAGTATGTTTACACTTGGCCGCCAGTAGCCGTGATGATGCTTCCTGGTTCCATGTGCCTGCGTCTGAAGTTACCACTAGTTTGTCCGGTTTCTTTATTTGACTCAGCTTCTCACACTCTCTCATCCTGTCTCTCTCTCGCTCTCGCTCTTGCTCTCTCTCTCACTCACTCTTACTCTCTGTTCTCATTCAGCTCTGCACTTAGCTACGTCTCACCTGGCCTTCTCTGACCTGCTGCAGTTGGTGGTCTTCTACACGTTGAGCAGGTAACTTCATAACGAGTCATTTTCTGTTGTTTAGCAGGGCTGTGAGAGCTCAGTCTTCACAGTAGCAGGCGTGTACAGGCATGTTTGAATGTCACAGATCTGTTCAGGAACACAAAGGCTGAATGTGTTTATAGAAACAGCTGAATCCATTGAGGACTGGTTTTCAGATATTTTCTAATGATTATTATTATTGTGTACTGTTATAATTAGCATTGTCTTTAAATGTGGTATTTCTTGATAATATTTTTAAATGCAGTACAGTACAGCACAGTGCAATACCACATGGTACAGTACTGCACAATACTGTACAGTACAGTACAGTAGAATACAATGCAGGACAGTATAATACAATACAGCACAATGCAATGTAGCACAGCACAGTACAATATCGTACAGTATGATACAATGCAGTGCAGTACAGTATACAATACAGTACAGCACAGAATAGTACAAAAAAGTACAGTACAGTATAATATGATGCTGTATAGTATACCACAGTACAGTACAGTATAATACAATGCAGTACAGTATACCACAGTACAGTACAGCACAATGCAGTGCAGTTCAATGCAGTTCAAAACAGTCTGGAATAGTACAGCACAATACAGTACAGTATAATACACTGCAGCACAGTGTAGTACAGTATGATACAATGCAGGAAAGTACTGCAGAATATAATACAGTACTGCACAGTAAAGCAGTATGGTACAGTATAGTACAATACATAACAGCACAGTGGAGTACAGTGCAGGATACTTTTGGACAAACAGCGTATGTACATACTCACCTCAACCTCACACCTTCTCTCTCTCTCTCTCTTTCTCTCTCTCTCTCTCTCTCGCTCTCTCTCTCAGGGACGTGTTGCCTCTGTGTTTGTCGGTCCCTATATGGGTGCGCAACGTGGCGGAACAACCGGGCCATCACGTTTCACAGCTGGGTCCAAGTTAGTCCTTTAATTTTGCCCGTCCACTCAGGATTTCAGATACATTTAATTACACCTTTTTCAAGGTTTTACTTTCTTAAAATATGTTCCAGGGAATGTTACGAAAAATATTAAGTGTTTGTATGTTACTATAATTGAGTGTTGTATTAAATATGCAGCAAAGTTTAAAACTCCAAGAGAGAAATATGAAATATAAATACTGCTTATCAGATCTATAATATAGAACTAGGTGGGTGTGGCTTATTTTTCTGTTCAGCACACTTTCAGCCTGCTACGGCGCTGAAGCAGAACTAAGCAGAACAGCATGAGTGAAATGGAGAAATGAGTGAAAAAGAGTGCAGGTGGTGCTGTCGACCCCGCAGTGTCCACTCTTTAAAAACATCATCCAGCTTTTAAATGGAGAACCTTAATGAAGGTTCTTATTCACTTTACTGCTGGATCTGCATCCAGGGAACACTGGTACAGCTGGTTGAACAGACAAACGAACACATGGATAGACAAACAGACGGATAGACAGGCAAACAAATAGACAGACGACAGGCAGACGAATGCTTGGTTAGCTTTCTCTCTGTAAATGTCACGTCTCAAGCACAGAGAGACTAAACACAGTTTAGTTAAAGCTGTGTGGGTGGGGCAAACCACATCAGCCTTGTGATTGGTGAGGTCACTGCTTATGTAAGCACTACTGAAGATTAGGACTGCCCCATTTACTTAAAAAAAGGAGAATTTTGGATGTCGGATAGTTATTCACAGGACATTCTGTAAATGCTTATTGTGTCCCGCCAGATTAACCTGCTTAAAAGGAAAACACTGGTTTCAGTTCCCTGGAGCTTTAAACCGTTCAGTGCTTTATCACTGGTGCTCAGTGTCTTTCACTCATGTTTATTGATGTGTGTTACTTTCAGAGGCCTGGCTTTGTCCCTCATCAGACCTCCAGCCTGACACAATGAGTCCAGGAACGTCGGACACTCAGGAAACTGTAATGTGCAGCATACAGGTACAGCTTTCTTCATCATATGGTTTAAACGAATAGCGCACTGTTTTTCAACCTACTCTGTCTGCTGTTTTTGTAGCATATATATATAAAAGAATAGAAGCCAACAGGCAGTTGATAAGTTCCACCAATAAACGTTCATGCGAAGCATATTTTTGTAAAACACTAAATGAGTTTATGTTAAAGGTGTTTTTGAACCATTTTAAAGTTAAGTTACATGTGCAGAGAGTTTTTACAGCCACCTCTGATCACCATGCTAGTAAACCTTATGCTGCGTTCACATGTTGGTGGTAGACGGCCGACGGCAAAGTGGATATTCCATTGTTTTCAATGGAGCCGCACTGGAAATTTCTGCCACCATTGGCAACAAAGGAATATTCTGTCAGGAGTTCAGTTTTCCCAACTGCTGCTGTCGACCACAGCAGTAAAATGAAGTGAAAGCTGATGTTTTTCTGGGAGCCATAAATGCCGAACATCTCATTGTTGAATTATACAACACAAGGTGAAAGAGTGCAGAGTGTCATCCTGCCTTTATCCACCTTAAATAAAATCTAACGCTCTCCTCTGATGGTCATGATCCTCTGATTTGTGGCAGCAATGCTGTCAACATGCCAATGTTTGCGTGGCTTTATGCTGCCGTTGGTCGCAGAATGCTACGAGGCGCGAATGAATGTTTTTTCAAAGTAAACATGTGAACGCAGCATTAGAGGAAGTGAAAGTGACCGGAACTACTTTTTTAGTGTTATTCCAGTGTTGTAAAGTTGGATAATATGTCATAAGACCAGCTTTGGTAAGATATTATCTCAATTCTACTGTTAAAGTGGAAAAGCTGAAGTTTCAAATTCACCTTTTATGATGTACTTCAAAGATTTATTCATGGAAATTCAAAGCAACTGCCTTCTGGCTTCTTTTACATGCAGGAGGTGGGGGAAAGCACTGCCCTAACAACCAATTATCATGCCCCCCCTGAACCCACTATTTTTCACATGCTTCTGTAGTGGCAAGTAACAAAAAGCAATCAAAGTAAAACTAAATTTTAAAAACTAATTGACATAGTAAATACATAAACAGACAGATTTGCTGTAAATGCAGCTCTTCCTTTGGATTCTGTCCTGAACTTGTGGCTCCTCTGAACAGATCTACCATTTATCTCTCTCTCAGTTTTCTGATCACAATATTCTGATCATTTCATGGCAGCTGACAACAGCAAATGGGGCTCTGTGCATCATCAACCCCCTGTATCTCCAAGAGCACGGGGATGACTGGCTCACCAACCCATCAGGTGGCCAAAGGCTCGTTAATCGCCCAATCAACAGGCGAGACAGGCGGCTGAGCACGGCAAGACACTGGGAAGGGGGGGGGATTAAGAAGAGAAGCCTCTCAGTCGACGAGTCCTCAGCCAGTGTCGACAGCTCAGGTGATAGAAAATCTCATTATGCTATACATTCACTGGCCGCTTTATCAGAAACACCTGCTTTATATACTCAGAGAACCATTTCATGCTTAACTGGTTCTTTGCAACATGAAATCGTTCTTCAGATTGATGGAGAACATGTTGTATATGGTTCTATATAGCACCAAAAAGGGTTCTGTTTTCTTTACGACGTCAAGCTTCAAAAATGTTCTATATAGAACCATATACAACACATTGTCCATCAATCTGAAGAACTATTTCATCATGCAAAGAACGTTTTAAGCATGCAAATGGTTCTTTGGGTGTTCATGGTATATATGTCAAATTTTGCAGTGTTAAAAAGTGATGATTTGTTTGTTGATTTGATTTGAAATGTGAGATTTCATGATCATGAATCATTTAATTGTTTCCTAAAGAAAGAATCAAAGCAAATTGATTGATTTGCACCGCTGATGACCAGGCAATGCAGAAAAATCAAAACAATCAGTTTCAGTGGAATTCCACTGATTTTTAACATTTTCTCATAACTCAGTGTGTGAGATGTAATCAGAGTGATTCAGAGTAGTTTGTTGTGAAATGGTTCAGGTTTCTTTACAGTGGTGGTGATAGGAACCAGGGGTGGCCATGACTACAACACAAATATAGACATTTTATTTACTATCAAAACCACCAGTCATCTGAGTTTATGTGGAATGTTGAAGATGTAAAATTGTGGAAAATCTGAAATAATGAGTTTTCTTTGGGGGCTATTTTGCCTCACAGCGCCCTGCGTATTATGTATCCCTCCACCATGAATGGATTTGAAGGCCAAAATCTTCTCAAAAGTATCATAAAACAGCGTCTCAGTCATCAGGCAGTGAATTCATAGCCATTTCATGTAGTAACTTTCTGTGAGGCAGTTTTTAGAGGTGGACGCCTGGTTCCCATCACCACCACTGAACAATTCTGACTCTGTTTCTCAAGAACAGAGCGTTTCACACCAAACCACTCTGAATGACTCTGTTTACATCTTAATTGCTTAATTATGCAGGAAATTTGAATGCTTATCATGGTTGTATTTCCTCTCTCCAGCAGGGTCTCCAGTTAAGACCCCCGTCTCTCCAGTGACCTCAGGGGGCGTGGTTTTGCGCAGGTCGAGCTCTTCCAGTAACCCGGATCCTCAGAGGAGAGTGAGCACGGACTCTTTGAGCAGTCAGCCCCCTCAGTCCCCCCACCGCGTGTCCTGGGTGGAGGACAAGTTCTGGTTGAACCCCCCACCTCCCCCCACCTTACTCCACCCCCCATGCCTGGAGCTGGACTCCCTGTCCGTCAGCAGCATGGAGGAGGAGCCTGAGACCGAGAACACTTCGAGCTCCTCCCAGTCACATGCTTCGTCCCGCCTCCAACTGGCAGACAAGGTGAAGAACCGCCTCTCAGCAGTGGGCCTGGCTCTGGGGGGGCTCGTGTCTCCGCAGCGGCGGCTGTACAAGCGTGTGCAGGAGATGAGCGAGCGCAAAGACGGACCCTTCGCTGAGGCTGTGAGGGTCTTCATTGAGCAGACGCTGAAGGGCGGGATGATTTACGGTGTGAGCAGCACAGAGATGCTGCAGGAAGTGCGCTCTTCGCTCACAGCCCTGAAGGAGGCGCTCTACGACTACGCCGAAATCCAGAGCATCATAGACTGCCTGGGGGACACGCCCGATTTTGAAATAGGTAAGAGAAGTAGGAGTAAATCAATTAAGCAATTCAGTTAAGTTTAAGCTTATTTAAAGGGCCCATATCCTACATTTTCCTATAGGTTTGTGTGGTTTTATGTACCAAACATAATGAATTTCCATTGTCCAACCTTTCTCTGTCCCTTACAATTAAACAGGCTATGTGTTACTATGCCGTTAAGACTGATATGTAAATGCGCTCTATTCTGATTGGCTGCCATGTACTGCGCCTCATTCAAAAAGCACTTAGGCTACGTTTACATTACCAGGTTGAAGCGGCACAAATACGATTTTTTGCCCTAATGTGACTCAGATCTGATGTTTTCAGAGCTGTGTGGACACACAAATCTGATCTTTTCAAAGCCGACCTGAGCCACTTTCATATGTGGTCCTAGATTGGATACCTGATTCGTGGCCATGCAACCTTAATGTGACGTTCAGAACGGAATTTATGTGCTTTCATTCAGTGTTACCATGGCAACAGCGCCGAACAGAAGTTAAACCCTGTAAACGGTGGAAAAGCAGCTCATCTCACCTTTTTCTCCTTCGTCTCGCTCTAATAATGAAGCTGAGAGCTGATCAGAGTTTATCTTTTCAGTGAAGCTCGTTCTGCTCGTTAGTTTGTTGCTGGTGATGCACGTGATTCATTCACATGACGTTACTGAGTAGGATGTGCGCATGAGGGTCATTTCAGGACGCTGGTTCGTTCACATTAATGACAGATTTGAGTCACTTACCTAAACGAGTGTGAGTCATCGAGTCAGAGAAATCGGATATAAGCAAAAAATATTTGAGCAATGAGGTTTGTAATGTTAACGTAGCTTGAGAGCTGATATACTTCTTATAATTTCAATATGAATGGGTGGGGCTAAACGTCTAGGTGGATATATGTTAATAAGTTTTTCTTGTGACATCACAGAAACAATGAATTCAAAATGGCCTCTTAGCAAATTAGCTTCCATATATGAGCTGTGATTTGCCTGGGAAGTGCACATTGTAGTGTTTATGTTAATTCAACCTTCTTTATATCAAAAAAGGGGAGAAAAGCTATTTTTCTGCAGGCCCTTTAATTCGTTTTATTCCATTTTTATATTCCCTTTTAGTCTTTTTTGTTTTACTTTTCTGTCTCACTATTTTAATTGTAAAGCATTTGAACTGCTGCATTTGAGCTGCAGTATGAATGGTGCTCTACGTTGTTATTACATTCTGATTGAACATTATTTAAATATTTTAACCCACTAAATTTTAGGTGTATTAATCAATTATTAAACCTAAAGGCAAAGTTCAGCAGAAAATTTACCAAATTCCCCCCCACACACTCCAAATGTAGTCAAGCCAAGTCAGATTTGGTGTCTTAAGTTTGCTTCTTTAGTTGTAAGCCAAGTAAGTGAAGCTAAGAGGCTAATGCAGCTAACAAGTAATGGTAGCTTATAGTCCACCTATTAATATTTTCTTTATGACTGATATATTCTGCCCCTCCCCTGCTGAAAAAAAACACAGAAACCATTAATTGTTTCTGTTGTTTCCTGACGCTTTTGTAATATATTTTTTTGTATAAATTTTGTTTTTTGACCAGGGTATATTTTTGGTTTTTAAATCTGAATTTACATGATCAAATCGTAAGGCAAATTATTCAGTAACTGCATGAAATAAATGTAAATTTTTATTTTATTTACTTTTTTTTTAAAAGTTCTCCTCAAATGAACAGAACATGTGTTTTATGATCATACACATATTACTATATGCTTACAATTTACTGCTGAAAGCCAAATATCTTACACGCTCTTTGTATTATTTTAAATAATTTTTACATAATTTTTACAGAGCAGATCACTGAAGAGACGCCATCTGTTTATAGTTTATAGCCCAGATTTGTGGAAAAATGGGTCGACTTTCAGTTCAGCAAAATTACATTACCCATCTATTTGACTGGAAAGAAGACAGTTACAGCTCTCATATGACACCCACCTTTTGAACGTAGCTTATGAAATATGAAAGTTATGAAGAATATGACGAAGTGCGTTTTGGAACCACCGGTGGTCTCAAGGAGTGGAAAAGATTAACGTGTTGATATCACATTATAAAGGATCCTAATGATTTCACAGGTCACCATTGGCTGATTGTAAATGCTTTCGATGGCTTCCTAATGGGATCTAAAGGTGTTCCACAGGAAACTAGTGGTCTCTATTAGAAATCATTAAGCCCATTTTCATTAGAAAGCAAAACTATTAGGTTTTAACCCAAATGGTTTCTAATAGTTCTTTTTCAGCAGGGTCACTAGAGCAGACCGAGCAGGTCAGCAGAAAGCTAACTGGCTAACAGGCTACAGTAATAAAAGACAGCTTTGATGTGTTACTTACATGTCTGTTAGCTTAAAAGTCCTTATTTAAACTGGAGCTCACATTAGTCAGTGTTGCCAACTACTTTCAATGGAAAGTAGCTGAAGCCTAATCAGAAAGTCACTAAATGCCGCTAGGTAATGCAATGCGCTAATTAGCATATTTGTCATGCCATCACGTCATATTTTCCTTTTGCCTAGTGTCAAATGGTGTCAGCCCACAACGGATACATCAAGCCCAAAGACAGTGGTTATGCTGTGATTTTGGTTCCATTTACACATAATATGATCACTTGATAGTGAGGTAATATGATCACTTGAATCACACGATAGTGAGTGATAAGACAGTAATAACAGTCAAAACAATCAAATTGTTTGAATTACAACAAAAGAAGAGTAAACAGTACAGATTCATGTCTTTCCCTGCTGAAAAAATGCATGACATTCATTCAATATTGGTCTATGCTGGTTAATGCTGGTTTATGCTGGTCTGAGGCTGGCTCAGCTGGTCACCCCGCATGGTCATGCTGGTTGACCAGCATACCAGCATCTAAAACACAACATATCGCTGCTGTCCTAAAACCTCATATCTCCAAAATGATAACTTTACAGGAGAAGCAAAAGACAAACTTCACTTTCAATGTAAGTCAATGGAACCAGAATTTTTTCCAATTCATTTTGGGTCATTTTGGGTGTTTATAGATAACAGTGTCAGAAACCACATAAGCAAGTCCATTTCCTGACTTAACTCTGCACGGTTTGATACGATACATGATGATGTAGGCATGCAGTTAGCACCATGCTAACTAGGGATGTTAATTAGTTGCTGTACTTGTTAGCTACATTAGCCTAATAGCTCCAGCGCAAAACTAAAGGAGCAAACAAAACATGCCTCAATCATTTACACCACTTGACGAAATTCAGGCTTCAAGATTTTGCAGTTTTAAGCTGTAAAACACACCTTTGTCCATTTTTCCCATTTGTCTACAGCACCTGTGGTGGAAAAACCAACACAGACTAGCATGAACTCTATGCTGGCCTAAGCTGGTCCAAGCTGGTTTATGCTGGTCTGGTGCTGGTGTCACCCAGCATGATCAACATGGTTGTCCAGCATACCAGCATCCAAAACACAACATATCGCTGCTGTTGAAAGAAAACCTTGTATCTCCATTTTTGACCTTTTTTTAGTTTTTGACATAATTTGAAAATGCCTGTTGTTCTTTACATTGTGTGTAAATTTCATGATGAATGGACTAAAATAAATGACCTAAAATTACTTGGAAAAAAGTCTGGTTCCACTGACTTACATTGAAAGTGAAGTAGGTTTTTTCCTTCTCCTGTAAAGTTACCATTTTGGAGATACAAGGTTTTTCTCCTGACAACAGCGATATGCTGGTTTTGCTGGTGGTTTTTCTATCAGGGATGATGCTAAGAGGTGTACAAATGCCTCCATTGCTAGTTATTAGCCTCATAGCTAAAAGTAAAGAAACTTTTGACACCAAACATGTTTTTGCTGATCAATTCCATTGGAGATAAAGGGGGAAACTGTGTAAATTTGAATGTCCAAGCTATTTTTTTAGGCTTATAATCCACATGGATGATAAACTCCTCAGCCTTTACTGTCACCCTTTCTCTGCCCAGATGCCATGTTAGAGAACGCTCTGCATAAAGTGGCCCTAAAGCCAGTGTGCTCCCATCTGTATGTGTGCATAAAGTCGGCACGGCAGGACGACGGCAGTCTGCAGCGCCTGCAGGGGAACCAGCGTACTCTGTCCAGCCGCAGCCTGGAGGAGCTGGAGGGCACGGCAGGGGCCGGGGTGCCGGACACCGTCATGCTGGAGAAGATCCAGCAGCGCTGGGCCACAATGCACCAGGACTACTCACCCACAAAGAAGGTGAACACTCTGCTCAAAGTCTGCAAGAACATCTACCACAGCATGAGCGCCAACGCCAAGCATGGTGAGTATACGTATGATCATGTATGTACAGTCGTGTGACGAAGTTTGGTCAAATTCCATGTGTTTGTTGATTTTCTAAGTGAAAATGAGTAACACCTTCTACAGAGAGTCCGCACATTTTAGTACATGACTACTGTTTATTGGCTGAAATTTAGCACATTGGGAAAAAGCAGTAAAACAGAAAATGCCTGGATAAAAGTTATATGTAAATAAATAGAAATTGTGCACTAAAATAAGCAGAAAACCTGCTAATATAATCTGGCCACATGCCAAAGACTGTTGCTCATCTGTTGTGTCCACCAGCTCTTCATCAGTGGTCAGTTTCTGGCCACAGCTGGTGTTATTTTGATGTTGGACCACAAGACCACTAGCAGGTGACTTTCTTCTGGTCAGAAAATTACCACTGATGAATGGGGTAAAGGATGAGTGACAAATAGATGGGCTGCAGTCTATGACTGTACATCTATGTACTGAGCCTATAGGGCAGGTGTTTCCACTAAAGTGACCAGTGAGTGTATAATGAGATGAGATATCCACGAGCAGGAAGTTAAAACCATTCATACGACACTCAAATCGCTGATGCGCATGACTTCTGGGCAGAGGCATAACTTACAATGCAGTTAATTAATACTTATAGTCAGTCAATTTTCAATCAAAACAGCCATTAACCTTTTGTCACCCATTTTTGCCTAGTAAAGTGGGCGCTGTTCCTTCATACTTTAGGATACAGTGATGATTTGGATCTTATTTGAAAGCAAACACTCTCAAGTATTTTCCCCAACATTCAAAATAACTGTCTGAATTACTGACACAGAGTAACACAGAGATCTCTAAACTGATCTCTGGCTCTTGCCGTGTTATCAGACCACATGTTTTGGACTATGGTGTCTCTGAGGAGAGCAGAGAGGCTCTGAAGGTGAGGACACACAGATTTGCTAGCATTGCTCATTCGGTACTCATGATGGAAATGAGACGATTGTTACTGCTGTGAATAACAGATCATAAAATGCTTTGCAGGAATCAAACCCTGAGATTTCTGGCTTTCTAATAGTGTATTGCTGGACAATTTGATGCATAAAAATTATGTAAAAAAAAACAGAAGTGAACGAAGGAAAAGTGCTTGTACTGGTACGGTGATCTAGAAAAAGTAAAGTTCATTTTTAGGGGGCATGTCTGAGAATATGCCATAATCCATTTGCATAATGAAGGGAAAATAGGTGGGAAAAAGAGGAGCTTCCAAAATTGGAGTTCAAAATAATTAGAGACAATTGGACTCCTAGCAACCACCTGAAAGACCTGGCAGACACCGAAACTGTCCCCATCACATAAACAGCCAAAGCAATTTAAGATTCTTCGAAGCATCAGTGGAGCACGCTGGAGGATCAGCGCAAGTTTGGGGATGCAAAACAACATCTGGAGTTGGTGTTTTGTTTTTTGGCTGAAAGGATCTTAAATGCTGGAACAAATTTTAGCGCATCATTAGCGCAGTAGTCTCTGGAAACGTTTGGGGACAAATTTGTTCGGAAGCAAGATAAAACCTCAAGCACACTGAGAAGATCAAGAGATTCTTATGAAACAAAGAAGCTGCTGGTGTTCTTAAAACAATGGACTGACCACCCCAGAGTCCAGACCTCAACATCACTGAATGTGTTTGATTACTTCAGAAAATGATCAACCACCTTCTAAGACTGAACGTGACTGAAAAGTGAGTCTCCTGAAAAGAATGGAAGCTGTAATAAAGTTAAAGAGTGACACACTGAACACTCAAACAGCTGAGAGTAGATTCAGCTGTTGAAGCTTAAAGTGTTATTTTCTGTTAAATATTTATTTCTGACACTTAAAAATGAATAACAGAAAATGGAAAATTCAATAAATCTATAACAAAGAGGGTCTGTCTCACACATACAGAGAGAACACTAATTCACTAACAGAATAAACTCTATGTCGGTGGTCTATGGGTTGTGCAGATGTCCTAATTACGCTGTATGTTAAGTATTGCAAGGTTAAGTTTGTGTGTGTGTTGATGTGAATGTGCACACTGAGGGGTCTCTTTTGTGACAGGTGTGGTTTTCGGGGCTGATGATTTCCTGCCATGTCTGACCTGGGTGCTGCTGCGCAGTGATGTTGTCACTCTGCAGATCGACACGGACTACATGATGGAGCTGCTGGACCCTTCTCAACTACAGGGGGAGGGTGAGGTGTACCTGCATGTACTGCAACCACTCACTGCTTTAATACACAAATAAAGTTACAAAAAATTATAAAATCTGATTGTGGCATTTTCAAATAGTTAGATGCTTGATAAACATGCATATGATGACATATGATACTGAATCTATTCAGTTCAGGGCACATTTTTCAAATGTTGTCATAATTTAATCATTAAGATGTTTCTAAAGTCATATAGCATATAGGTAAAATAAGGATAGGTGTTTCCAATAATGTGATCAGGTAGTGGAAGCACAAGGTGTGTGTTTCTAATAAAGTGGCCAGTAAGTGGAAGTAGAAGGTGGGTATTTCCAATAAAGTGGCCAGTTAGTGGAAGTAGAAGGTAGGTGTTTCTAATAAAGTGTCTAGTTAGTGGAAGCACAAGGGAGGTGTTTCCAATAAAGTGGCCAGTTAGTGGAAGTAGAAGGTGAGTAGAAGGTGGGTATTTCCAATAAAGTGGCCAGTTAGTGGAAGTAGAAGGTAGGTGTTTCCAACAAAGTGGCCAGTTAGTGGAAGCACAAGGGACGTGTTTCCAATAAAGTGGCCAGTTAGTGGAAGCAGAAGGTTGATGTTTCTAATAAAGTGGCCACTTAGTGGAAGTAGAAGGTGGGAGTTTCTAATAACGTGGCCAGTTAGTGGAAGCATGAGGTAGCTTTTAGAGGATAAATAAATAAACATTTTTCTCCCTCTCTTTCTCTCTATATCTTAGGTGGATACTACCTGACGTCCCTCTACGCTGCTCTGTACTACATCAGCAGTTTCCAGCCTCGGCTGGCGGCGCGCCAACTCAGCGCGGAGGCCCACAAGTCCCTCAGCCAGTGGCACCGCAGACGCACTCTCCACTGTAACCAGTCTCGGCGCAGCAGGAACCGCCGGACGTTCAGAAGAAGCGCTCGCGTGGAAGAGGCAGTGGAGGGCGCGAAGGACGCAGAAGCAAGCTCTTCCACAGAGAGAGAGGACTCAGGAGATGGAGCTGATATTGAATCAGCTCTGCCTAGTTACGTGACGGAGGCGCTGCAGAGACTGAGTGAGGATTTGGAGATCGTTGGAGAGGAAGACGAAGATGATTAGATGCAGTTCTTGGAAGATTAAAGGCTCAGTAACAGAGAACCCTGATGTTGGGCAGCACACTGCAGGAATACCTGCAGACAGGCCTCCAAAAACCACCTGCTACCATGTCGGTGTCAATGCTGTGCTGGGAACAGTTCACCACCCAAATAATATCTGGTCTGTAGTGGTCCTGTGGTGGTCTCCTTGCACTGATGAGGGTAGAGGGGGCTTATAAACTGTACAGTAAAAGATGAGCTACAGTCTGTAACAAAGTGGACATGTGTGGTACGTGTTCAAGGGGCTGCAATGATCCCCACACGACCAAGACTATATTTAAATAGTTTCTTTTTTTTGTTTGTTTGTTTTTCATTGGCAGCGCAGCCTTGGTGACCATGACGTTTGTGTGCCTCACTGCTGACTGTCACATTGTACTCTTGAATTAACCACTGAGGCCTTTTATACCAGCCGTGCGGTAAACAGCAGTAGTAGTCATGCGAACACCAAGTGCAGTTTTAAGCTGTGTTTTTGCTGCATGACTCTAGAACAGAGGTATTCAAACTTTTCCTCCTGAGGCTCAACTAAAACAGACTTGTGAATTTACAAACTGCAGAGTATGTATAAAGAAAATCAGGTCAAATCATCCCATTTGTCCAGAAATGTTATTGTCTATTATTAACTGGCTAACAAAAGAATAAAAAGCAGCGTATCATAATAAGAGCTTCATATAAACAATTTTATGACAGAGTTTGCAATTTTCTATCTCAACTCTAGAAGCATGTCTGCACCAAAATTCCCAGTGTTTTCAACTCATGACTGGTTTCACTGGTTTATTCTCACAAGCATGACAAACACCAGGACCCAATTTAGGATTACAATTCGAATTACAAAGACACGACGCAGTGAGGTTTGAAGATAACATCTGTTTCCTTTTCCCCCAAACTTTTATTTTTATAATGTGAATCTATTCCTTTTTTATCTAATTATTAAAACCAATATATTTTACAATTTGCATATTTTATAAAACAATTAAGAGTTAAAAGTTCTGAAAACAAATTTTGAATTAAAGAAAGGAAACGACGGGCCTTATTCGCCACCTGTTCTTAAGAGAAAATTTCTTCTTAAAACCCACTTATGCAATTTTGATGAAGATTCTGACTCACCAGTAAGAACAGAATCTACACACACTCAAGAGCACAAAGGTGAGAACAGTTCTGCGCTTTAAGTACACGTCATGACTCTGACGTAGACTATTATTAGGATCTTTCTACCAAATTTAAGATCAAACTTGGGAAGATATTGGAGAATAAGGCCCAATGACAATATCAGTAATAAGAAACATGCATCATGGTAATTTAAAAACGCTAAAACAGAAAAATGAATAATTGAATTTTTTGCTGTTCCACATAGAGCTTGAACTGTAGGCTTATTATGAATCAGTTTGGGGCTGTTTTGTGAAAATGGCATTACTTCTCGCTGAAATAATACAGGCCCTCACACCACAGCCCTAACTGAACCTAACATAGAGTCCAGTGAATGTAGCAACGTCGTAATAAATCATTAACAGCGACTGAGTTACTGAGTCTCCTGTAAGCTTAAAGGGGAATTCCACCAGTTTTTCAGGTTTCTTTACAGTGGTGGTGTTAGGAACCAGTGGTTGCCATGACTACAACACAAATATAAACATTTTATTTACTGTCTCAAACCACCAGTGAACCTACACGAGTCTTCTGAATTCATATGGAATGTTGATGATGGAAAATAGTGGAAAATCTGAAATAAAAAGTTTTCTTTGCGGACTATTTTTGCTTTAAAACGTGTCCCTCCAAGCCAAATCCAACGTAAAACAGTGTCTCAGTCATCAGGCAGTGAATTCATAACCATTTAATGTAGTAACTTTCTGTGAGGGAGCTTTTAGAGGTGGGCATCTGGTTCCTATCACCACCACTGTGAACAGTTCTGACTCTGTAAGTTTCTCTAGAACAGAGCATTTCACACCAAACCACGTGAAAAATTGGTGGATTTCCCCTTTAACCCTGTGACACACACTGTTAAAGGGCCCATATCCTACAATTTTCTTTTTTTTTCTCACTTCTAACGTTTGTGTGGGTTTAAGTACCAAAAACAGACCTAAATCATTTTCACCTGATCATTTTTCAACGTCTCTTCAGAATTCCACAGCTTTTAAGACTGATATATTGTCCCAAAATCGTGTTTTTTTACAGATTTTTTAAAAAATGCCACTGTGTTAAAATTAAACAAGTGGACCAAAAGAAATGCTAGTTATTTGTAAAAAATGTTGTTCCATTTTCCTCCATTTAGACTTAAGAACCCTTTTTTAAGCCGTTTTGGAGATGCAAGGTTTTGCCACAACAGTGAGAATATGTAAATGAGCTCTGTTCTGATTGGCAGCCCTGCATTGCACTATTCATGCTGTAACACCCCTTCTGGGTGGGGCTAAACTGTTGTACTCTGAGTAGACATCACAAAAACAGTACATTCAAAACGGGTTGTTTTTGCAGTTTAGTTTCCACATATGGGCTCTATGGAGTGGAGAGTGAATGTTTTAAAACATTTTGAAACATTAATAATGTTTTCATGCTAAATTAAACTCTTATTTTCAAAAAAAAGAAGAGAAAAATGAGTTTTTCCATGATCTGGGCCTTTAATAACTCTGATACAGAGTGAAAAATGAGAGTTAAAATGTAATGCTTTATTCTTAATGCATCGTTAACACATGCACCTCAGTTCAGTCAGTGATGGAGATTATCTTATATTAAATAATATGAGATATATAAGATATCAGAGACTCGCTTTCATCACTTTCATCACGTATGAATTTACACAAAGAAGCAATTTCTTTGGGGATTTTATCCAGTGCGATTAAACAAGATAGAAAGCAGGACTTATTTATTAGACTTAAAGGCTTTAAACTCAATCTTACATCAAAATATCATATTTTTACACATTTCTATCAACACCTACTGCAGTCGGCTGGTAGTTTTTCCAACTTCTTTTACATTTCTGTGATTCAATGCAACCAAAAGAACAAACTATTTTGAATTCCATCTCTTTATGTGATTTGGTGATGGGTAAAAATGTATTTTTTCATTTTTTTCAAATGATCAGTGTTTACTTTGATTTGCTACTGTTTTCTTTTAATGGTTGTGGTATTTTTTTTTAAAGTGGTTTAGTTACAGCTGAGTGGAGAGTTAAAGCCAGACGGAGTTTAATGTGCGACTGTTGTGGTGTAATTGATTATAAGAAGCCTGATCAGTTTAACAGAAATAAGTAATAACACATTTATTAGTCCAGTAGTAAACAAACCCGGGATTAAACCACGAGAAAGTGTATCATTAATAAGTAATATCATTATCATTATACTGTACAAAGTGCCTGATGAATCTGAAATGCACTGGTCGCTTTTTATTAGATGTATTTATTTATTTTTAACTTAAAGATCCTTGAAAGCGAAGCACCTTTTGACCTTTTAACACAAATATTACTAAAGTTTTACAACTTTAAAGATATATATATATATATATATATATATATATATATATATATTATATATATCGCCACACCACCAGGGGAGAATGTTGCATCTTTTTGCATCTAGACCTCTGTCAGCGTTAAGTTTGAAGAGCTAAAGAGAGAATACATTTAATATATGATGTATAATTTGATGTAATTTCATATAAGATGTTGTATGTGTGTAATAACATGTGTATGCACATTGCTAATAACTCCAGTAATAAACACAAGAACAGAGCTGTGGTCAAGCAGTGTGTGTTATACTTGCTATATAAATTAAAAAGGCTTTCACAATGGCAGTAAAAACATGTAAATTCATAAATTATAATCAAGCTTTTTATGTACTTTTGTTTTACTTTTTAAAGTTTACACATTAAAGCTGTGGACATTTTGACAAAAACACATTTTCTCCCAAATAGTCCCTCTTCAAAAAAAGCTACATGGTGCTGTAAACATAGTTTGAACCACCAGGGGGCATTGCTTCATTTTTTTCGTAGATGTCCGTATGCAAAAATATTACAAAATAAAAGTCCTGCTGAAGCCAAAGCTGTGTTAAGAAATAGTAAAAATACAGATGCTGTTAGTATAATAATGTTAATAAAAATATCGGTGCATTCAGGCTCGTTCTATATGGAACCATTTCATGATTATATGGTTCTCTGTGTGGTGAAATGGTTCTTCAGATTGTTGTATATAGCTTTCTGAAAATGGTTCATGGTTCTATATAGCAACAAAAAGGGTTTTTCTATTGTTGCAAGCTTGACACACAATAGCAGAACCCTTTCGGTGCTATATAGAACCATGTATAGCATGTTCTCTATCAGTTCACCATGCAGAGAAACATTTCAGCATGAAATGCTCATACTTATACTCATACATCTAAATAGAACCAATGAAGAACCGTCTTTTTTAAGTGTGTAGCTAATCCTCCATTCAAGTAAAGCTGAAACATTACCTGCACTGTTTTCGCTGCTGCTGTTATCTTTATTAAGCAGTAAGAGACTCTTGGAGACATATATGTGTTCTTTTCCACACACGTACACACGCTACTGCTCAGAGTGTCCCATATGCTAACACACACTCCTACATGCTCGATCATGCACAGTAATCCATCCTCCGTAATCACATGCGCACATAACAGCCACGTTCGTGGGCTACATATGGAACCCCCTCAGTCTCAGGGCCAAAAAATTGCAAACCCAATCACATTTGCCTAATGGGACATCTGGCATTCGGCCTGCATTTATGACCTTAGCATTGCTAATAAAACATCTGGGTCTCCCCCCACAAACCCCAACTTTACAAACGGCCTCTGTGAAGTAGCGGTTAACATGACAGCGCCTCTGTTAGCATACACGATCGGTGTGATGTCCCATGTTATTCGCAGCTGACATCTAACAGCATTATGCATTCAGCGCGGGCATAAATTAGATATATGGCAGTGGCGTGTGTGTTAGTGAATACACAGATGGCTGGAGGCCTGAGGCGTTTAGGAGAGGAGGCTGAACACAGGAGCAGAGTTTCTACAGCCACAAAAACGGGATATAGCGATGACTGTGGGCAGCGGATTGATACCCGAGTGCCGATATTTACAATTCTGACGATTCCTTTTGAGAATCCTTAACCTGGTGATGAATATTTATCTTTCTAAACTATTTGAAGCTAAAAATAGCGGTGCACTTTATCATCACACAAAATGTTGGAGATTCGGAGGTTTCCAAAATAAACGTTTTTTTGATGCTAACTAGCATCACTGCTGTGTCTGATCCACTCATACCAGCACAACACACACTAACACAATACCACCACGTCAGTGTTACTGCAGTGCTGAGACTGATCCACCACCCAAATAGAACCTGCTCTGTGAGGGTCCATGGGGGTCCTGACCACTAAAGAACAGGTTAAAAGGGGGCTAACAAAGTATGCAGAGAAACAGATGGACTACAGTCTGTAACTGTAGAACTACAAAGTGCACCTATATAGTAAGTGGAGCTGATAAAATGGACAATGAGCGTAGAAACAAGGAGGTGGTCATGATGTTATGCCTGATATATATATATATATATATATATATATATATATATATATATATATATATATATATATATATTTGTATGTAGAAAGTTTTTTATCATATATTGTTAAATATATGTGTTACACATATGTGTTTATATTTTGATGTATGGCTCAAATATGTAATAAGTTGGCATATATGTCATATATGTGGCAAACATAAATTGAAAAAAAATATATACATATATATATATATATATATATATATATATATATATATATATATATATATATATATATATATACATGTAAGGGTTCTTTTTTCCATGGTAAGCTTGCAGCAATAGAACTCTTTTTGGTTGTCTATAGAACTCTTGCCTTTAGTAAAGTGTGAACCTTTATTTTTCAAGGCTGCAGTGGCGATTTGAGTGCACTGCGCTGCATTGCGTCTGCTCAGATCTGCCACACTGCTGTGAATTCATCTGCTGGGAATGTTATGATTGACAGCTTGCTAACGAGTGTCAGCCTTAATGACGGTGCTGCCGTTAATGGAGATAAATAAATGAGCGCTGGTGGCTAAATGTTCCCCAACACTTTCAAACCAATTACTCCCTGGGTTAATCCAGAAGATCCAGCATCAACAGTCTACAGGCTTTCATGCTCTCTTTCTTCTCATCCTCGCTTTTCTCTCAAACTGAGGGCCCAAAGTTACCACATAAATCTGGAACACTTTCCTTTAAATACACTAATTTTTCATTGGCACATGGCCAGGAAGTAATGCATTGAATATACTTGAGTCAAATCATTTCTACATGAATAACATTCATGTCCCTTTACTGCATCAATTATAAAACACACATTAAAATGCTTTTAATGACATTTCTCTCTGAAAAATGGCATAATTAATAGAAATATTTTGAAATATAAAAGCAAAAAAAATATTTTGGAGAGTGACTTGGCATTTTGTTGCCATATGGCAACAGCATGCAACAATGGAACTGCAATCTGCAGTGTGTATGATGGTGATAAACCAATATACTGCTACAGGACGCAGATACATTCACCACCCGAGCATGAAAAAGCATGTGCATTGCAGCCATTTATGCATAAACATTTTAAT